GCAGGCGGTTTCATTTTATTGTGTAGGCGCTTGGCATAAATGAGATGATAAAGAGAACCTGTAAATTGCATTCTAATATCACTAGTCACAGTTACCTTTTTATTCGCGGTATATTCTAGTCGAAAGCACGTACTTCTGATCAGAAAAGATGTGTGTGAGCGCAGCGCCACCCGTTGCTTACAGTGCGATTGTTTTTTTCTTTTTTTACCATTCATTTATTATTCCTTACATCACTGACATTATTTATATTATCACCGTGTGTTCGTTTTGTTATGTTCCCATTGTTTTGATTGAACTGTGTTTCAGTGAGGATAGTTTGTCATCCTTCGCCCCACAAATGTTTCGAACTATCCGTTCTCTATATATCTGAGATCAAGTTCCGCATCCCATCGAATAAACATGAATTAAGCAATATTGCATATTTTATTAATTTGATCTTTTTCTACCCCACAAAATATTTTTCTGAAAGCCTATGAGTTGGAGATGGTCCGTTCTCCCCCGTTGCTCCGTGCCTCGCGTGTAAAACCGACTGCGTGAGCAGGGGAGCGAGCGGGCCCCGCTTGGGGGGGGGGGGGGGGGGGGGGGGGGGGGTAGCTTTGGCATTTCGGGAGGGGTTTCGACCCCCCAAACCCCCCCTCTGCCTACGCCACTGGCAGAGAGCATTTCGGGGATTCTGGTATTCAGCGCACAGCTTTTGCAGCGGCGAGGACCCCAAACATGATTTTCAAACCCGACGAGAAAAAAAGCGGTAGCGCGAGGAGCGCGAGGAGCACGAGCGGACATTCCCCGTGAACTTGATAGTATAAGTGCTTCCATAGGCTTCGCATAATTCCCGCTTTAACTTCGGGTAAGTACCATTCGTCAGAACTGGTAATTCCATCGCTCGAGAAAAGTGTGTTTCGACGTCTCGCCGCAGCGGGGCGCCCATTACATGACTCTTTTCTCATCCGGTATTTGCCGCTCTACCTCTTCACTTTTGGCGGCCGCGTCTCGAGGCGATCTGCCAGGCTTTGTCAGTACAGAGGAAGCTATGGGAGCAGTAACCGTTCTAAAGCAAAACCCTAAAACAAATGGCATCTTGCACGCGCGCTCTTCAACGCTTTATTTTGGTTATTTACTTCGAATCCTTTATAGAAGGAAGGCCTGCGCGTGCGGCGCGTGCGAGCGTATAGGTTTTGTTGACGCACATGAAAAATCCACGGAACCCAAGTCACAAACAGCTTCGCCGTAAACCAGCATTTATCTTGAGGCGGATGTCATACCAAGATGAGTTGCTGGGCGAGTTGGTTAGACATGTTGACTTGAACAGCGCAAATAAAGTAAAGAAGGAAGAGACAACAGTTGGTCTCTTCCTTCCTTATTTTACTTGCGCTGTTTACGTCAGCGGATGCCATAGGTGACGCTGTCTTGTAGGTGCGAGACCCACTTCGCTGTCGACAAATGTTCCTAAGCCAGGATTATCCCTTCCACCCCGGAGACCTAGCCCACAGGTAGACTTACTTTGCAAAGATCCGCCTCCCTAAAAAAAAGCGTTTCTTTTTTAACTGACAAAAAGCCAAAATAATGTTGCAACGCGGCCGTAGTCGACTTTTAACGTGGTCGTCGCCACAATCTAAAAAATGTTTGTGCGTCTACTTTCACGCACAACACTCGGAGAGCCAATCACCGCAACTTACGGAGGCAGCTCAGCGAATGACGATGCCGAAACATATATGTTTAGACCAAGGAAACGCAGTCTGAGTTGTGACATTAAGCAATGCAAAACGTCGCGCCTGCATTGCTTAATGTCACAACTCAGACTGCGTTTTCTGGTCTAAGCATATGTTTCGGCATCGTCATTCGCTGAGCTGCCTCCGTAAGTGGCGCTGATTGGCTCTCCGAGTGTTGTGCGGGAAAGCAGAGACTCACGGGCTTTTTTTAGAGTGCATTGCAACCTGACCCGTACTGCTATGGAAGGCGGTTTCGCACTCGGAGCGCGGCGCCATTGCTCAGGAGCTACCTCTGGGCAGCCGTTCCGTGCTTATTTTGCGCCCCCCCCCCCCGCCCCCTGATCTCAGCCAACGGCAGCGTGTGCTTGACTGCCTCGTCATCTCGCTGCGCGTTTTCTTGCATGCTGATTCCCCCTTTGTGCTCCGATGCGCGAAAGAGGCTTTTTTGGAGCTTTACCGCGGAGCGTGGCGAGTCCTCATCGTTCGGCAGCCAATGTGCTTGCGGCTATGAGCGAATGAGAACTCCCAAGAATCAATCAGGAAGCATGATCGCAAAGTCGGCTCTATCCCTCGGATTGTCGTCGGCCACATTTGTCGGTTTCCACCGGTCTCTGCAATAGTTGCCGTGCGCTACTCAAACTATTCGTTCGAAAGAGGTGGAAATGGAGAAACATTTGGAATTCCACAGGGCCCAGCACGCACGTGTACGTCGCTTCACAAAGCGAGCAGGGCACGCGCCACGCGCACGTATACGTTAAAAGTGGCACGGTCCACTTTGCCGAATCGCCTCACACCACGGAGAATTCTGGGAACACAGCGGTGCGCGCCCCGCACGCATTCGCCTTAGGCTGTCGTTGGCGTTTTTCACCAGAACTTTTTTAGAGTGTCGGCGCATCGTATACCACGAGGGTTTCGAGGGCGTTTATTGAGTAATAACACTAACTCACAAGGACATCCCTGCGGCTTATGTCGCGTGCCAAGATGATTCCTTGAATTGGATTCCACGCTTCATACGAAGCACAGATGTGCCGGTGACTCGCTTTCGGTTCTCGACGCAACGCAGTCAAACGCACTCAAACGCAAATGTCTGAACCGGCCTTTAGGCTGTCGTTGGCTAACGCACTGCAGGTACATTTGTTTCCGAGCTTTGCTTCGCAAAAGGTTACTGTAACAGACGCGAGCTCGTGCAGCGCGTGTAACTATACGTTCCGAGCGTGCTCAGTGGGGCTCGGTTAATTTAGCAAAAGGTGAGCGCAGGCAGTTTTGACATTACTGAGACAAAGCCTCGACAACGTCGGATAAAAAAATAAATAAAAAATCAGCAGTATTATTTAGAAAAACGTAATATTCTTCAATATCCCTTTAAAAGCCGACGACCAGACTCGAGATTCTGCAAGGCAGAACATCCTCCTCCTCACCATGGGGGAGGAGGGACCGGGCAACGGTGGACAGGATAGAAGGGGGGAGAGGAGGAAGCGAGAGAAAAGTGGAAAGCGCGAACTGGACGTCGGTCTTTAAGTGGGCCATGAAACGATTTTCTTACGTTAGAAATAATGCTCAGAATGAACCTCAGGCGCTAATGGTATGGGGGACTTCCACTGCTTTTTCCCTACGCGCACTAGCAGTCACAGATGAAATTGGAGAAAACGGAGTACGCGACTACAGTATGTGCCGCGAGGAGTTCGAAGCATACTGCACTGAATTAGATCTTTACTGATTAAAATCGTAACCTCTCTTCTCTCAGGCAACTTCCACGAGGATGAGGCGCTATTTCGTAAAATACGTGAGAGAACAAGGAAAAGTAAACGATTCAAGTAATCAAGAAAGTGAAACTTACTGCAACAACACCCGTGGTACCATATCTGTCTTGAGCGATTATGAAAGAAACTATGCGTGAAAAGTGTTGCACTCTTTGCTGCGTAAATTCCGATCATCCATCGTTGAGGCGAAAGAACCGAATTGCACCAGCGAAGTAATCCCCCCCCCACGATCGTTCTCCCTCTCGGAAAAGTCAAAACTAATTTAACATCTGAGGCAATTTTTAGAGTGAACGAAACCGCACACAATAAAAATGAAATAAAGAAACAAAAATAGCTAACTCGTTTTCAATAAAGAGATACGTTCAGCTTTAAAAACAACGTGTAATCGAAATTTCTAATGAAATGGTGCACGGTAAGAATATGTTCAAAAAGAAATGCTTGCGCGTTTTTTTTTTTTTTTTTGCACGGCTAATTATTGCAATTATTTTGCACCGCTAATTATTGCAATCGGCAAAAGCAGCTTAACTAATGAGCCAAGCGCAGACCGTACTCCTTCTACCTCTCCGCCTACTTCTATTTCTCTCTATAATGGTTTACAAATGCGAGCCATTCAAGGTCCGACGTGTTGCACGCAGAGCGCATTTTTCAACATATTTATGCACTGGCTAACTTTGCAGAATAGGAGTTTTCCTACAAATCTCATCGCTGTTTGGATAAAAGAAAGCTGCAAGTAGATTAAGCAGGGTTCACCAGTAAGTTCATAGTTTCGATACTTTTCAATTTTCTGGGAAATGTTAACTTCATACACGCAATCCACTTATAAAGTTATGCCGTTTCATAATTATTAAGCATTCAAAACATATAAAATACCAGGAATTATGTGAAAAAGTTTTCGTTACAGCATCTGTTTTTTTACTGCAAACAGTAACTCTGGTGTACCGCGCCTGACTTGATTATCATAGTCGATGTAGACAGAAATAATAAGAAAATTTATTATTTCTTAAAAAAATGACATGACCTGTCATTTGTGTAGGCTACAGATTTCGTGAAATAACAAAATCTGACACACTGAGTAACAAATTAATTACCCTTAGGTATCACAATACAAAAAAAATGCACAACAAACGATACCTGTAAAAATAATAAATGCAGCACACCTGAAAACCACGGCTCTGCTGAAAACCATTAAAAGTCGTAACTCTCTGTTCTAATGTAAGTTTCCAAACCGCTATAACTATAGCTCTGCCATCGGTGCACGTGCCAGATTCCAATGCACGAGCTGTAGTTGGCCACCGTGTTCAAAAAACAGCGCAAGCAAAAAAGCAAAAAAAGAAAAAAAAAAGAAAAGCGAAAGACGCGCAATTTAGCACGCGGGAACGCGGGAACGCCAAAAAGCACGCCGGTCACATTGCTTTCTAAATCGTAGCGTCGCAGTCGATAAGCAGCATTTCTTCACGAGTCGAAGCGTCTGTGCGACAGAAAGGCTTGTGTGAGCCTCCGCTTCACCGATCGCACGCTTTTTGCCGCCTCCATGGATCCCTCGAACCTGAAAAGCGGTCTGCCCATGTCACCACATACCGAAGAGCCGCTCATCAGCCTCCACTTCCCGCAAAAGCTCTGGAGGATCATCAATGAGTGCACGTCCGGCGCCATTAGCTGGTCGGTCGACGGCAAGGTCGTGGTGATCGACTACGCCAACTTCCAGTCCACCTACATGTACGAACAGCAAGAGATCTTCAAGACGAGCAACATGAGGAGCTTCATCAGGCAGCTGAACTTGTACGGATTCCGCAAAGTGAGCCCCCACGACAGGGTGATGGCGCAGTACAGCAGCTCAACGCGGGGTAACACTACGAGCAGCGGCATCCACGCATTCCGAAACGAGTCCTTTGTGAGGGGACGCCCGGACCTACTACGGAGGGTCACTCGCAAGGCCGGGCCGCCCAGAGCCAAGAGACCTCGGAAGGTAGAGTCTGGCTACCAGTCGTCGGGCTCCTCCACGAGCTCGCTCTCCGACGACGCCAGGAGAACGCAACGTCAGGTGAAGTCGCGCTCAACTGTTCCTCTCGAATTATTCGTGCGTCCTTGATTTTCTTCTGGTTTAATCTCGAGCTTCGAAGAAAACACTTTCCCCAAGTAAAGAAAAGCTCCCCGAAGCCACGAACGCTAAAAGTCGCTGTTAGAAGGGTACGGAAACGAAATGTTTGCTCCTACCATGGGCGTACCAACCGGAGGGGCTATGGGGGCGCGTGCCCCCCCCCCCCCCCCAATTTCTCAGAGTGGGGGGGCCAAGGCACGTGTTTTGCCCCCCCCCCCCCCCCCCTCCCCCCTGAAACAGCCGCTACTGGGCAGGGCAAACGCCGGCGGCGGCCAAGAGATATCAAAGGCCGCGGCCCTGGGGGAAGGGAGAGGGGGAGGGGGGTGTCTGGGTTTGCCCCCCCCCCCCCCCCCTCAAAAAAAAAAGTTGGTACGCCACTGGCTCCTACTTCGTTGTTTAGATACGGTCTATGTTGTGACGGCAGCCCATAAACACTAGTCCGACTATTGCTTCTGGGCTGCCGGCAAAATAGTTAGGAAAACTAATTTTAAAACGAATGAACAGATTTCAAGATTGCGCCTGGTGGCGGTCTGTGAAGCTCCGTTGGAATGCCGCCACGTCATCGACCTCTGAGAAGCAGCGCCAGTTCGAGGCAGTATGACTCTCTCGTGGAGCTACTTAGTCCTGAATGTGACTTGGTGGACAACTCTCACGAGACTGCTACGTTGAAGCGGCTCTGTATTTAAAGAAAAACACCTGAATCGTCTTGATTTGGCCTCCAGGATCACGAATATTGAGATTACTTTTCAATTTGGTGCACGGAGGCTGCAGAAATTAACTTTTAAAGTACCAATGAAGCACCCCCATCCCGGGGCGTGACGTCACACTAGGAGTTTTCGGACTCTCGCGCATCTTCAGCGTCTGTCAAAGCTATGCAAGCTCACTCTGGCTATTTTCAGAAAGGTAAAAAAAAAAAAAAGACGTCACGAATGGTGCCAGTGCGGTGGAATATACCTGGCAAGCTTGCAACTGCACGCGCTGCCCACACGAGCGGCACGCGCTTGGCGGCCCAAAAGATCCTAGTTTGACGTAACGACTGGTCGGAGGTTTTTCGTGTTTTCTCGCGTTTAGTTGAATCTTCGGGGAAAACAAACGTGATATTCAGATTCACGGGATAAAAATACGCTAAAATGCACCTCTACCTCGTTTTTTTTTTGTTTTTTTTTTGTTTTTTTTTTTATTAACTTTTACAGGTGCTTTTGCAACGTGCACGTCACACCATCAAGATCGCCGTTCTTTGCAGACGTTAGGCAGGAGCTTGATTTGAGGGTGCGAGCAGCTCTGCCACACTAACCATGCCACTACTCCCCCTCCCCCCTCCCCCCGGACGAGCTGTGAAGAACGTGCTCGAATATGGCACCCTGTGAATACCTTATATAAATTGCTTGCAGGTATCACCGGGGCTGGGTACTGACGGTTCTTCTATGTATAAGCCATAGGGCGTACAGTTCTCAGATGTTACTACTAGGCGAGATTGTCACGCGTTGACGCCACCAAGCGGCGACGCTCGCTACTACAGTACCCTTGACCGTGCGGGAGCCATTGACGTCACGAGCGCGATACGCACCGAACTTCTCGCTAAACAATTTTGAAGCGAGGAGAAGAGAGCTCGCGGCTACGTCATTTCGTTTCCGTGCCCCTGTAAAGAAAAAAAAAGAAAAATGCTTCAACGTTTTGGTGTATTTTTTTTTAGATTTGGAATTTTTTTTTTTTTTTAGTTTTCTGCAGTTAATTTGTTTTGTGCGCAAAATCAACAGAAAGCTGGGAATAGAGACAACGAAAGGGTGAAGGTTTTAAAGAAATTGCTGTTAAATTACTTATAAATTAAGAAAAAATATGTATTCTGAATTTTAAGGGATGCCTACAGGTTACCACGTATGCCTGTTTCTATTTCTTCCGGTACCTCCCTCAATTCTCCTCGTTAGCGACGACGTGCACGCAAACTTTCAAGAACGCGTCGCACTTTTTACACGCATCGAAATGACGTTTGGAACGCAGGCAGCTGCGGGCACTGCGTTCTTATTCGGCTCTTCTCTGACCAAATCAAAAGCCGAATCCAAGATCTCGTGTCCCGGGGAGGTGTGGGGGTGGTTCGGCTATACTCGTGCGCTTGAGCGCCGAAGACACGTATACTTTTCAGAGCACGCGATCGCCCTCGGAGTTTTCGCCGTCGAATGCAAGGACGGGCAGCGTCGAGCGGCGGACGCCCGTGGTGAAAAAATCGAGAAGACAGGAGGGCAAATCGACGAGGAATATGTCGGACACGTTTCTGCATGCCTCCGAGCGTCCAATGTTATGATGAACGGAATCCGAGACTCTATTCATCTTCACCCTAACAATAAATGCTAAGGAGAAAAAAAGAACAAAAGAAGAAGAAGAAAAAAAATGACGTCAGCTTTGGCGTGTGGACCCGTGCAGCATGCGCGTGACGGTGATCCTTTGGCAAGCTTACGATTGCTGGTGCTCGTTCTTCCAAGCAGAGACACGGCCGGTGGCACTCTACAAAATCTGGAGCGTCAGCTTTCCCTGGGCGAAAAATGCGAGGTAATCCGGAATGTCCTTTTTTTGAGTCTTTTGAGTTTAGCCGGTGACAGGGAACGACCCAAGAAAAACGAAGAGTGCCGTGACGGTGCACCTTTGCCGCTGTTAGATTGGCTCCCGAAGATGGCATCGGCTGCGTTCGGATGCAATATGAAATGGACATATTTCCAGTCTCGTCATTCGCCGAGATGTTGATAGCAGCGATTGGCTTTCCGAGTGCTTTGAGGGGAAGCAGACGCATCAGAGTTATTCGACACTGCTCGCGCAATGCTGATATCTCACTCCGAAATTAATTGCGTTCCGCGGTAAGACCGCCGAGACAGAAAAGAGCTCAAACAGACGGGCGCGTCGGTCGTGCTAGTGTGTTACGGGTTTTCTTCGTCCTTGTCCGCGACTTTGCGATATGTTGCATCCCAGGGTCGTCGCCTGCCCTCGCCCGACCGGCAGAGGGTGACACGGCGTGTTTCGAAGAAGCCGCCCAGCCCCTCGTCCCGGCCGTCCACCCAGTCCGCGTCGGATTCAACGGATGCCGGTCCCTCGCACCTGCCGCCCAACAACCGCGCGTCCTCCACCAATGAGGGCGTGCCCTGGTATGACGATAATTCAAGCAGCTGCACGAGCACCGACACGAACAGCCTTAGCGACTATGACTGGGAACACATAACCGCGATGGCCAAGGTGCTGAGCGAGAAGAGCTTACTGGATGAGCTCACCAACCCGGATGTGACCAACTGGCCCGTAGACGAAACCGTCGAAGACATGAGCCTCGGCGCGCTCCAGCCAGTGTGCCCCATCAGCGGTGCCAGCTCCACCGAGTGTGGCAGCAGCCCGATGCCCTCGTCCAGTAGCAGCATGCTCGCTCTGCTGGACACCAACAACTCCCCCAATATGGTGCTCACGCACCAGGCGGGAGGAGGCGAGCCCGACGACATCCCGTGGCTGGAAGAGTCGCTTATGCTCGATTCCGTCTTCGGCAACCTCGACGAGTCGTTGAGCGACAACCTCTATTCCATCTTGACGGAGGAAGCCGAGAACAGAGCCATTGACGATCAGCCCTCCGTGACCATCGACGGAGTTGGGGAGTCGGCCACCAGCTTCTTTACGTCGTCGGACCTCAGCCTGGACCTCCTGCACTCCGTGTTGTACGACGAAGACCGGGCGAGCGAGAATGACGAGTTCAACTTGGCCAGCGTCCAAGAGGCCCCTCAGCACTCTGTGGAACGCACTCCGGACGCATAGCTAACGGATAGCTGGAACTCTGGCTGCAGTGAGAGCTGGTCGAGTTGACTAGCAGCTCTTCATTTCCAAGCGACCCGCGGTGGACTCGGCTTGATCTTTTTGGTGCCTTGTCGCGCGTGTCGTACAACTAGAGTGTTTTGTTAAGTGGTTGAGGTCAACTCCCTAGTGACCTTTTGTTTTGTTACTTTGTTACAATTACATTTCTGTTGCAGTGGCTAAGCTCGCCAGTAGTCTTAATTCTTTTTAGTATACTTGTTTTGGAATCATTGGTAGGCCTGTAGGCTCAGATCTTAAAATGAATCTTCTGTTGACGGAAACTTCCTCAACTCAACGGCATTTCTTTTCACGAGCTCGAGGTGAATCAACTTTCTTTTTTTTTTTTTTTTTTTTTTCTTTTTCTTTAACGTTGCGTGACGCTTAGTTCTGCAAAGCAGCAGAGGCTCCCAGCCAATTTTACTTCCCAAAGACAACTTTGCGAGTAACCTACTGTTCATAATGACACAGGTGCCTCACTCCATCATGGATTGCGAGGCTGACGACACCCCGAGCGACATGATTGCCCTCCTAGACCCTAACGAACCCCCGACGGCGGTCTTCGCGCACTTCAGCCCCTCTCCGAGCGGCTGGGAGCACGCGCCGCGGCTCGAAGACTTCCTCCTGCTAAGCCCTGTCCTCAGCTGCCTCGGCCAAACGCCCAGTGACGAGCTCTCCCGCCTCCTCATGACCGACGATGACGAGGATCAGGATGGGACCAGCGGCGCCGTTCAAGACCAAGTCTTGCCGGCTGCTGACGCAGTCAGTGCCGATCCTGCCTTCGCTCTTGCCGCCACTCAAAGCGGGGATGGTGCCACTCAGTGCTAGAGTAACTGTGTAGTCTCTGCCTCCACCGGAGCCTACACAGTTACTCTACTCAGTGCCAAGACGCTGCGCCACCTGGCGGTATGAAGGGAGGCAACGTCACAAAGTCGGCCTCGGGTTCCGAGTAGGCTTCAACCGGTCCGCGGGAGGGAAGTTCGCAGCCAAGCTTTCTGGTCATTATGTTAGTTGTTTTCGTCCTTTCGTGAGCCTAGTCTAATGCCGCCGATAGTTTAGCAATCAAGAGTTCAGAATGATTTTTGTACTGCAGTTTCAAACTTATTACGAAGTTATACAAACCACGGTGTTCATTCAGCATGCAATGAGTGATGTTTCTTCATTATTTTCTGGAAATAAAAGCCCTTCAAAACAAAAGTGTTCCGTGTACAACTCTACAAATATCATGCAAAGCAGGAAAAACAATTTTTTTTTTTCACCGTGACATGCCAGATTGTCTCAAATCAAATATTGCGCGGAAATAACGCTGCAATTATATTGTAATTGGTGACTAAAGCGCCCCTCAGCATTGTGGCTGAGTTTTTGGGGACACTGCTTTGCTAACCGCAGGCACCGACTACGAAAAGGCTCAGGGGTCCTATAGTCAGTTACAGGTTAAGAAGGTAGCGGCAAATGCCCCTCAAAGGGAATCAGATATCCCTCCGCCACCTCCGCATCCAATAGCCTTCCACCGTTTCCTTGACGTCGCGGCCAACGCGCGAGGAGGGTCTTGCCTTTCTGTACATATTTGCTTTATTTTTCTACTTTGACTTAGCATTGTGGAAGCCACGAGAGGGAGATTAGAGTTCTCCCCCACCGACGGAAACAAATACGACTTTCGGGGATTAGCTTCCCCCCCGATGGATACAAAGGCTGCTTTCAGGGGCTCGGTTCCCTCTCCGATGAATACAAAGGTCGCTTTCTTAAAAAGTGGGATCGGAGACAAGTGGGAATCCATTGAAGCGGAACAAGGAGCGTTTCCAGTGAACTTTTCTTTCGACTGCGGAGAGATTTGAAACGGGCGCATCACACTTGTGGGAGGAGCTTCTCCTACCTTCTTGACTTGTAACCGACTATAGCCCCCCCCCCTTCCTCTCCCGAGCTCTTCGGAAAAGCAAGTACCATCGCCTCCGGACGCACATACCGATAGCTGGCGTCCAGTGAATAAATAAAAATGTATCCCCTCACCAGCTCTGGTCACTAAGTGACCAGAGCAGGTGAGTGGATAAATTTGTCTAACTATTCGTGCAGTCCTGTTCGAAGACCCTCCGTAGTATTAGCAAATACGATAGAGGCTAGTGCTGATTCCTTCGAAAGCCCTTGGAAGTGGTGGCGAATGACGACAGTTGCACCTCTAGCGGACCTGCAGCCTACGGAAGTAGACGACATAGTAACACGTTTTGTAAGCGGCCGATTTTGTTTTCCCAAACGTTGAAACAATTCATTACGGTCAGTGCGCTTGAACCACGGAATTCACTGATCACAACTGCAATGACAGCTAAATTATAGGGTCACAAAAGCAGACATTTGTTATGCCGTCAGCAGGCTTATCCTACGTCATCCAAGGGATTAGATACGTTTGGGACGGGTCCATATCACACAAGCGAATGACGTTTTAGCGAACAGCGACATTTGAACGAATCGATGTTTTAGCGAATAACGGGGGCGCGTCTTAACCGCCCGCCCCCACCCCGCGCTGCGCTTATGCCGCTTCGCGGCGAGAGTCCGCGCCGGCTCATTACAAAAATGTGAACCCCATTGGCCCACCTGTTAAAGCCGCTTCGCGGCGGCCGTCTATTCGTTAAAGTGTCATTCGGTAAAAGGTGGGCGTTCGCTAAAACGTCATTCGATCACGCGAGTGCTTCCCCGTTTGAGGCGTCTCTTTCAGGCGGAAACAAGAAGCGTTTTAAACAACCGTTCAGAAGGTTTCTCTTTGGGCCCTAAACTCGTCAAACACGAGGTTGGAGCCGAAAGTTCGCGAAGCGCGTCAGTTGGACGCCGGCGAAAAAAAAAAAAAAAAACGCGAAGTCATTGTCGGCATAGTCCAATCGGTTTGCTCCATCAACTTCGGCCCCAACTTTGTGTTTGACGAGTTTAGGGCCCCAGGGCCCCTAAACTCGTCAAACAGAAAGTTGGGGCCGAAGTTGACGGAGCACACCGATTGGTCTATCATGACGATGACTTCGCGCTTTTTTCGCCAACGTCCAATCAGCGCGCTCTGTGAACTTTCGGCTGCAACTTTGTGTCTGACGAGTTTAGGGCCCCAGATGTTCTCGGCACACACTCTAAAAAAAGCCCATGTGTTGGCTTTCCCGCACAACACTCGGAGAACCAATCAGCGCAACTTGCGGAGGCAGCTCAACGAATGACGATACTGAAACATGTTTAGACCAAAAAAACGCAGTCTGAGTTGTGACATTAAGCAATGCAACCGTGACGTTTTGCATTGCCTAATGTCACAACTCATACTGCGTTTTTTGGTCTAAACAGATGTTTCGGCATCATCATTCGCTGAGTTGCCTCCGTAAGTTGCGCTGATTGGCTCTCCAAGTGTTGTGCGGGAAAGCAGACGCACAGACGTTTTTTTAGAATGTAGGTAGTTGTGGTTCTAACTCGTGGTTCAGACGGCGTTTTGAAGATCCTTTTCACTAAGCTCCTTTATAAAATCGGCCAATCTGCTCGCGATGTTGAGTGCGCACGTGCCCTACAGCGTGCGCGGGTTCGCCAATATTATAAAGGGGCTTAGTGAAAAGGATCTTTAGAACGCCGTCTGACACGGGTAGCTGTGGTTCTAGCATACATTTAAATGACATCGCCGACGAATTCATTAGCAGACCAAGTGTACTAATGAACGCGATCTCCACATCAGCGAAATCCTCACATTAAACAACGGACTGTCTGATGCGGCATTACACTCTAAAAAAAAGCCCGTGCGTCTACTTTCCCGCACAACACTCGGAGAGCCAATCACCGCAACTTACGGAGGCAGCTCAACGAATGACGATACTGAAACATGTTTAGACCAAAAAATGCAGTCTTAGTTGTGACATTAAACAATGCAAAACGTCACGCTTAAAACTCAGACTGCGTTTTTTGTTTGTTTTTTTGTTTAAACAAATGTTTTGACATCGTCATTCGCTAAGCCGCCTCCGTAAGTTGCGCTGATTGGCTCTCCGAGTGCTGTACGGGTACGGGAAAGTAGACGCACGGGCTGTTATTTTTTTTTTTTTTTTTTTTTTAGAGTGTAGGGAATGGAGTGTTTGTTGTCCGCACTGTTTTATGTTATTCCTCTTTACCGATGATGTTATATAGTACACCCGCCGGCAATATGAAGGTGAACACCTTACCTGGTTCCTTGCCATGTTTTACGGCTCCCGAAAGCTATATATATTAACTCTCAACGTCTCAAGTGGTAGGTGGTTTGGGGTGTCAACTTTGCGTTCTAGCCCTCTTCTGGAACAGAGCTTTTTCCAAAACTTGGAGGAGCGTCAAAAACAAGAAGAGGGCTGTTCACCTTCATATCGCTCACGGGTTACATCGGCCGCTTGGTAAAGCAGCTGAAGCAGTATGTATTTGTGTTATGTTCGTTCTCCAGTTCCTGGTTGTATTAAGTTATTTATTAGTTTACCTGAGTTTATGCCATTCTATCTGATTTCGTTTAATTGCCCAGAAAGATAAATGCGAAACTTTTGCAGGTAGTGAAAGTATGCCGGTGTATTGCTTTATTTGATATTTTTACTTCGTCATAAATTACGCCGTCGTGCAATGTAAAAGGATGACCCATTAATTGCGCTAAGAAACTGTGATTTATTCCGCGATTGGTGTATATATGCGATATGTCATTTTGTGACTTTAATCTCTCTACGAAAAGGGTTCCATGATATGTATTTTATCTATGTGTAGTGAGGCTTTCACAGTTGAAGAAATAGGAGCTCCCCCATACACCCAAAGCAATGGTGTGTTGGTTAGGCTGTTTACTTATTTTGTCTATTTTTTTCAAACAAAATGAATAAAACATTTTTTTTTTTTTTTTTTTTTTTTTGCAAGTGTTCAACAGGGCGCACTTTATTGTCAGCCAAAATCGCTAAGAGGCGGGGTTCAGCCGGTTTGATGGATGTCCCAGACGACGTTCTAATACACGAAATCTGGAACCTTGCATGCTCACGTAGCGTTTCCTAGTTTAGTTTTGTTTTCGAAAGATGCATCAGTTCAGTTGAGAGGATGCGCTAATTACATTTGCCCCAAAATGAAATGTGACGACCATCTTAGAAAACACACGTTGATTGATGGAGCTTGCTTATATTGCGCGTCACCATCAAAAGGCCTAAGTTGGCTACGAGGGCAGGTGGTTACGTCTCCCATAAGTGCAGTGCGTAAAATCTTTCTTTTTTTCTTTTTGTTATGCAAGCTTCGATATGCACGCATCAACGAACTCTTGAGCGAACACTTCTCTGAGCTTCCTTGATGTTCGTTGAAGTCTTCATATGCTACATGGTGTATACAACGCGGTAGCCGGAGTCAACACTGCTTCATGAACCATATGTATGTATATGAACAGTACGAATCAAATAAGATAAGTAAGTATATACATTTATATCACAAGGATGCTTCTTCGTCATTTTCGGGGCTCTGACGAGTAATATTTCAGATATGCAGATGATAGAACCGTACTGGTCAAATGAAAATAAGAAAGCGCAAAAAAGCAAATAATTTTTTTTCAAAACATTTTGGAAAAATTATTTGCTCTTCTCCGCTTTATTTTCATTTGACCAGTACGGTTCTATCATCTGCATATTTAAAATATAGTATAAGTTCGTTTTTTCAGCTTTACAGATTTGTTTAAAAAAAGCCGTGAAAGTTACACGTATGCCGCTTGTGGAGGTGGGTTACACGGCCAGGAGAACATTATGTGGGTGGCTAATATTTGGGATAAGTCGGCTAATCAATTCAAATTCGTTAATTAAGTTTTTAATTAGTGAAAATAGACATATGGTTTCAATTCGAAACTTAAGAGAGCGTCATCGAAAACAACTAAATCAACTATTTTTAAAACGACTTGAAGCTCGTGGGAAACTCGGTGTCACACCAAAGTTACCACTCGTGAAGCAGGCGCAAAGCTAGCAGTGGCGGAATGCGGATGAATAGATTATCATCGCGTTCCGCCACTGCCAGCTTTGCGGGTTACGAAGAGCGTTGCAGGAGGGCGAAAACCATCTACGAAAACTCCCTAATACGGAGTTTTCGCCGTGCCTCAACGCCTTCCGCAACGACACCCGGGGGGAGAAACGCGGTCTACGAAAACTCCCTAAAAAAGTGCACGTACCCATGTTGAGAAGGCAACCCACGTGGCGTTTATTTGGGCGCAATAATACAAAAAAAAAAAAAAGGAGATAGAATCGAGTGTCCCTAAAACAGTCTAGGGGCGACGAGGGGAAAGACTGACCTTCTTACCCCAAAATAGAGGTCAGGGTTCAAACTATTCATACGAGAAGGGTGTGGGCATATTCATGGGCGTACCAACTGAGGTAACCAAGTAACGTTACCTTCACGGCACGGTGACGTCAAGGCCGCGCCGGATCTGACGGATCTCCCGAGATGCATCGCACTCTACGATGGCTAATATTGAAGCACTCGCCGAAATCCCGTCATTTAGAACGAAAAAAAAAAAATAGCCATCCGCTTAGAATACAACCATGCGATTATCAATAACGGGTTTAGCCAATCCCATTCTACTTGTTTCTTGATGCTTTCTGTATATTTAAAGTTTTGATTCAGTATTCCTTTAAAGGGAAAAAAAATCGTGTTTTACATCCATAGTAAACCCAAAACAGAGGAAACAAAAAAACATTTAAAAAAAAAACGGACAGAATAAGTTAACAGAATCCTTCTGATCTTGTTGCATTAGAATCACAATTTCGAAACCTAATATTAGTGTGGAAAAAAACGAAACTTGGTTACGGCATATGCCCTTTCTCCTTCAGCAAACAAAAGTATACTGCCTAAAACAAGAACATTTAGTTTTGTTTTTTTCCCAAGAAAAGACAGGTTACGTTAATACCTTTTATAATCAAAGTTCACACAATAAGAGGTTTACTTAAAGGGGCCAAGACAAGTGTGCTTTTAGTTTAGCTAGCTTTATTACGAATAAAACTGACGTTTCTGAGTTAGCTTTCCTCTCCACACACAAACAGTTGCAGAAGAAACTGGAGAACACCGAGCAGTGCTAACGAGCAGTCACGTGATCTGGTGTCGGTTGTACGGCTCCCAGTGTCCAACCACACATAATTTCATGTCCCCATTTAATTTATTCAACTTTAAAACTTTCCCGTAGAACAGGGGTGGTAAATTGCGGCTCTTTGCGGGTCCAAGTGCAGCAAGTGGTTCCCAGGAACACGTGTCGATATTAGGATCATTGCACTGCTGTAAGCCACTCTTTGCAACAATGAAGGCAGAAAAAGACAACGTACGGCCCTGGCAGACAAACATCTAACTAAGCTGCTCACTGCCCAGGACTGCAACGACATCACTGGAGCTGAACTTCAAGGCGCTCATTTCACGAGTGGGGACGCATTACAAAAACATAATGAGCAATCACTTTATGAGTGGAATTTTCCGTGGCCACCAATTGACAGGAAATAAATAAGAATAAAAAACCGGCTCTTGATTTAAAGTTGTTCTTTTTTTCTGGCTCTTTGCATATGGCCATCTGGCAACCCTTGCCAAAGAAGATAGACTGGGCTCTTGGGGCTCCTAGTATACAAGGTGTATCGGCAAGTTTATTACACAGCACAACAGCAACACATCCTGACGAGCAGCGAAAATGAAATCATAGGAGCCAGAATCGCACAGACTGTCCACCCAATACTGCGCGACGTGTTTTGCTAGAGCTCAGCGTGGCACAAGACACCTGTTGACGACCTGCAGCAGGTGCGAGTTCTCCAGAGCCGCGGCGACCCTCTCCTTGTCATCCAGCTGCTTGTTAACTGGAAGAGTCACAAGTGTATGTGTTCAGGCAACACAGGTCGGGAACCAGTTCTGCTGAACAGTGGCCCATTAACTGCAAACAAGCTAGGCTTTCAATTTTATGCCACTATTACTGTCTCCTCCTGTACAAAGTCTATAATCACGCAACATCTTCCGTGGGAAAAGAGGCTTGAAATTCCAAAAAGGCGAGTCCAAGTCAGTTTGCCCATGGTGGAAATCTCTACAGATCATTTATTTATTGTTTCTGCAAGAGAACTGAGCTCTACTGTGGTACCTTAGGAAGTCAGGTGGCTCAGTTTGCTACCTTTGGAATATGAAATTATAACCTGAAAAGGGAGGAAACAGCTAAAAGGTTATACAGTCGCCGACCGATCTTTCGGACCCAGAGGGGCACCCGAAGTTGTCAGAATAATCAAGCGGTCCGAAAAATCGATTTCAGCCAAAATATCGAATTTTCACGCATATTCCGCGGCGTATTGGCCACTTTCCACTCGCTTGACGTCAATTTTAAGTTCTCGTGCAACTTTCGCCTTATATTGCTCACTTTTTACTTGTTGCTGATCACGGTGCTGCACTTTGTCAGCGCCGTCGTTGGCACAAACAGCGAAGTTGAAGTTGGCGCCATTTGGCACTATCTGGAAACGTTTAGTCCACCAAGCTCGCTTCAATACTAAGCCTATCGGCAAAAAACCTACGCGCTCAAAGACCACAAGCACGGCAGACGGCAGCTTTTCTCGCGGTCGCACACGAAAAGCACTGACCACGAGAACTGAAAGAGCCATAAGAATGGGCAGACAGCGGCCATGTTGGCTATAGCGGAGCCGGAAAACCCGGCTATAGCCTCAACCCAGCTTGTTTACTGCATAGGACGTGGTATTGAGGCTACAGGGCAAAATCAAAGCAACCAAAATGGCGGTGCTATCGCGGCAGCTGTTTTGTGGCTGTAAACTGAGGAAATCACACAAATTATGACTGAAATATCGAGCAAAAAGCTTTATGTAGATGGTTGAGCGTGTTAGTTATTAATTGATGATAAGGAAAGAGGGACATTGAGTCCAAAATTTCGGTCAATGCTATACATTAACTCTAAGGGGTGAGCTATGGTTCAGCAAGAATGTCCGAATAATCGAACGTGTTCAGAAAATTCTGTCTGCGACTGTAATATGAATTCAAATCATAGTTGTTCATAAATTAAATGCTTAAAGGAGCTGTGCAACAGTTTCAGTGCTTTGCTTAAATAATTTGGGAGTTAGTGTCTCGACCTTTCTGAAGTAAAGAACAAAAAACCGCTTTTGCCTGCATGTGCTAGTTTTTATTTTTAAAATGGACAAAGATTGAGGTTTTCGGAACCTCTCAACTCCTTCACCATCTTCCGAGTCACGTGCACCCCGACGTCAATGGGGGTCGCACGGGGTTTCGGTGAAGCTCTCTCTCTAGAGCCATCAGGGAGCAGCAAGAACTCATTTGCTCGCGACCGCGTGACCCCGTGCTGGCAGGCGAAGCGCGAAAAATATGGTGAAAGGAGGAAAGTCTCATCCGAATCCGGCCCCATACCCGTCCAGCTCTGTACCCCTCCCCCTCTGGACCCCTCCCCCTCTGGCTTCTGGCAGCTGTTCGCGGTAGCAGATAGAGCCGTTGGTTTTGTGGACCTAGGAGAGATGGCGCCACCATGAAAACTCTGTATAATAAAAGTTTTATCGATGATACCAGGTTTTCGACGCATTTATATTTATGTTGGAAAGACAAGATTTATAGAAAAGTTACCTTTTATCGAGCAGGTATTCGCACAACTTGCTATCTTTCTACAAGACCCCCATTGACGTCACGCCGCGTGGTTCTCATGGCCGCCGCTCGCGGCTGCAGGTCAGGGAATATTCTCATTTTTGCCTCGCGATTACGCGGCGAAATCGCAACATTTTGAAGGAAGGAGGTTGTGTTTTCTGTCCTTGGTAACAAAATGAACAATGTCAAAAGTAGAAGATGCCAATTCTTTCAATGTTAAGATTGTTGCACAGCTCCTTTAAGTAATAAACATTCATGTGACCAATAGACGATATGCGATACTGCTTGGTGGTCTGGCAGCACTGTGTACACGGTCATCTTGGTAGCATCAAGTATCTTGAGTTTCGGTTTCTCAGCATTTGCAGGGCATGAACGCTCTGCCACTAAGTGCGATTCAAAAACTTTACCGTAAAATACCGGGCAAACACCCACTCAAAATTTAGAGATAATCGCGAAAAAATGGGGGATGGGCGCTTGTCCGGTCATCAATTTTACATATAAATGTACTGTGCATATTTTTTCGTATCTTAAAAATTTGGATATGGGCACTTAATGTGGAATGGGCAGATCCGCGGTATTCTACGGTATTGTTTTCTGACTTCCAATCACCCAAAGTGAACAAAGGACTAGGCCGTCATGCCTTTCATCTCTGAGGACACTTTCAATTATTTTTTCAATGCGAATACGCATGAAGTCGTACCATTTAGCGGTAGACTGCTCCATGCCAATACATGCAACTCAAAATTAATTTTTGTGTTTTTTTTTTTTTTTTTTTTTTTTTTTTTTGTTACTGGCAAAAGTTTTTTTTGTGGAAGGCTATGTGTCCTTCTGAAGGATACTGTGCACTGGGCAATATATTTCAGGCGTTGCAAACAGCTTAAATTGGTTTCAGATAGCATTGACCTCAAGCACAGTTGACGGATGTTGCGCTTTTAATGAAGACTGGTTCAACCCTGGCAGAATAACTGCTTTGACTTTCTCAAAACTACCCCCACCCCCCCGAGCTTCTTCGTACTAAAGAAAATTTTTACCTCGACTGCGACAAAAAAGAAAAGAAAAGGAGATTGTGAAATTTCGCTGCCGCCGACATCGAACCTTTAGCCACTGCGATGAACCTAATACAAACACCATGTTTTATGTAATCGAACATGGCGTTCAAAGAAAAAGAGAGCAAAATCCCGCCTCTACGAGTGTTGAGCAGACACGACGTTTGTGTCTGTTGTGTTTTCTATTCTACATGACCGCGCTTTGAATATTCAAGAATATTATATCAACAAACTCTGCTGTTTAGTTTTAGAGGTGTTTTACAAACTTCGTCTGCTGACGTCAAATCAAGTGTACAGAAATCGCTGCAAAGCAATGAGATTGTTTTCTAATTTTCCAAAGTAATTAATTTCTTTTATTTTTTTTAAATATATGACATTAAAATGAAGGCTCTGTGGTGCTTACAGATTTGGTTGTTCACTGTTAACCATACACATCTTCAATTATGGTTGGTGGCATAGATTATTAAAACTGTCATCTTTCTGCCTCGCTTAAAAGCCTTGGTCTTGTCCGCATACACTGAGCTGCTTGCGCACCAAGGAAAATCTAGGCCAACACTAAAATGTGCCTAAAAAAAAAAAAGAAAGTTCAGAAACAAATTGGGTGCAACTTTGTAAAAAGATTAGAGCCCAGTTCAATAGTTGTAAATGGCTTCACGCTGCATGATATCATCCGCATGTTTCTTCGCGTTGTCACCGATTGTTTTGGTCAAAAGCTGCGTCTCAAGTAACAAATAAAAATAAGAAAAAATTGTGAACCCTGTTCACGTTTGCGTTCATGTCACACACGAATCGAAGGTTTATCGGTGCATCCATAGCGGAACGCACCAACGCATTGGCATCGCATCTCTCGCACGAAGCGTGGTCGCTTGTTTACATGGGGTCTTTGCCGGTCGGGTCACTGGTTTTGTTTTCTCGCCGCTACCAAGGTGGCAGACATAGTTCTCGGCGCGCTACTAGATGGCGCTCTACATTTCGCATATGGTCTATTTGCCATTTTTAATAGCTCAAAGGGGGTGGACTTAAAAATAAGCGAGCTTGTGATTTAGAGGCAGGCTTCGATTATTAACAAGGTCAGTACAGAATGCAATTAATCAGTGCCACCTTCCCATTCCACTGAGGAACAGTTCTCAGTATGACGTCAGAAATTCCGCCTGAAAGCTACAAGTCAACCCAAAGTTAGAGAAGTCCACCGAAGCTCGTGACAACATCGAAGCACGGAAAAAACGACAGGGATCAAAATCTATAGAGTGGCCCAAAGTCAAATTTAGGGGTTTTAGTTGCCCGACCAAGGAAGGGCACCTATGGCACGCCCCAGCGCAGGAGTAAGGATTAACTTGGACCACCTGGCCATCTTTTGACGTGCAACCGAAATCTAGGTTCCACGGCACCCTCTCTGCAATAGTTGCAGAGTCAGAATGCAAGCACATCGACCGGGATTTGAACCCCCCACCTGGGGATCCGTAGGCTTTGCCTCAAAGCCACCGAGGCGGCTGATCAAGCGGCCCTTGAACGGCACTGAGCTCAACAATCAGGTCTCCGTCAGGAGCCCAAGGGAGACCGTGAGAGAGTGCAGAGGATCGCACTCACTGGCCACTTCCGAGACGTGGGTGCCAGGCAGGATCCGGACGTCCACCTTGAAGGTGGGTGGCAAGCGCCGCAGAAGTTGCACCCTGATGGCCAGGCCGATGAGGGTGGCCATGCTGCAGTGTGGGATGGTGGGCCGGAAGTCCACCCGGATCATCATCTGCTCAGGGTCCACCTGAAAGAGAACTCCGAAAGGTCACCTGTGGAATGAGGCATTGAGGCTGTCTACCGCCAAATCGACACTTCTGAGGCTCTACATCCCAAATCGACAGAGAGCAACAAAGATACCATGGCAAAGCACCGAGGATTCCTTTGCTGTAAAATACCAGGGGAGTGCCCACCTGACTTTCACTGAAAACTGAATTAAAGGGACACTAACACCCCCATAAATTTTTTATTTTTTGTTAGGCGATTCATTCTGCTGTCAGAAGACTACTCAATCAATATTTTGCAACGTCACATATATTTTTAATAAAGTAAAAAAACGCAACTGCTCAAAACCGAAACTATACTGGGGAGGAAGAAGAAATATAGAGGAGGAAAGAGGTGGCGAAAGTCAGGTGGCTGTGACACTTTTTTTCCCTCAAACAACACATTTTAAGCTTTTTAGAAGCCACAAAAAATGGGTATCGTATTTCTTTTCTATTTTTAATATTGTGTACGTGCCTCCGATGACCTAAGACTTTGATTATATTTGCCGGGTGTCACTAAACCATTAAAAGACGGTTCGTGGCCACAAAGGAGAGAGAGAGCGCGACTCAAACGGGCCAGTTCTCGATCGGCTGTTTTCGGTTGGAAAGAAAAATTTCAAACCGAGAATTCTTTTCTGGTAGTTTGGCTCTCATATGTAATATACAAATTTGCAGAATTCCCCGGTTTGGAACACGTTAAGAGTGGGCACTTGAACAAAATGGGCGCTTCCGCGGTTTCTTACGGTAGACTAGAGATCTGCGTGGGCTCGGGGAAGCCCAAAAATCTGAACTTGACCCGACTGTCAAGCTGGGGTCGGGCTGGGGTCGGGCTGGGGTCGGGCCGGGGTCGAGGTCTCGGGACTCGACAACCCGACCTTGCTAAATCTAGAAATTTGATTTTAGGAACATGCAAAAAGAAACGGAAAGAGAGTGCAAGCTATAACACAGAAAATGCCGAGATTAATTTCGCTTGGTAGGTGGTCGCCTGCTGCAAGCTGGTTTTTGTTTCTTATTTAGCATAAATAGGAAACCCTTCCGCATTTAAAAATTTTTCCTTCCCTAAAAATTCACTTACACATAAAATAAATTACTGAGCGTCATTTTATTCACGTGTATGGGTGGTGAAGTTTCATAAATCAAGCTTATATTCTGATATCCACACAATCATCATAAACACGGTTTCTGGGCGAAAATAAAATATGGCTTCGTTGGCATTTTTGTTCAAACGGGATATAATTCTAAGCGGAAGAAAATTTGGTTTGCTGTGAATCGTCCCCTGTAAAGAGAAGGCAGAACTTAATCAAAAATATGCAGATGAATGAACAGTCTGATTGAATGAAGTAATCACAATGAAGTTGTCAAAAGTCAAAATCTTTTTAAAGGCGCTGGGATTCAAACTTTGGGTCTCCTAGTTAGCGGTCAGGTATGCTAATTGCTGCACCACAAAAAAAGGTGGTCAAGTGTGCAAACTTTTCCGCCACTATCGTGGCTAAGATTTTGACTAAATTTCGGGACCGCTCTTGTCCGCGTGATTGTCAATCCACTTTTAGACCACGATTAACTTGCTATCAACTTACAGCCTCGCTTATCTTTTGTTCTGCATTAGATTCACAATGAAAGGGAACCACGTTCAATCCCCAACAAGTGATTCCTCGCTTTTTTGCTTGTGAATTTTCGAGTGACGATCACTTCCGACCCCAAGAATGACGTACATCCTTTTCAGAAAATGCTAGGAGCCAGTAATTGACACCACATACTCCTTGTTTAAAAAAAAAAAGTGGGTTCGGGCTGGGTTTATGTTAAAAATAAGTCAAGTTTTGGGCCGTGTTCGGGCCGGAATACATATCGGTCAGGTCAGGTTCGGGTCGGGTTCGGGACGGCTTCCACGAACCATAATCGGGCTCGGGCCGGGTTCAGGCCAGGACATAATCGGGCCGGGTTGGGTCGGGCCTTAAAATTCTGGCTTGATCTTATCTCTAATTTTGACCACCTAAAGCTGCATAACGTGCGACCAAACTTTTGGTCGTTCAGCATCTACGGCACAGTCCGCATTCGTCCAACTGCAGATAGCTAGGCAACCGGAGATCTAAAGGCCAGCGTGTCGCCTCAGAAATAGTAATGTTGCTCGCATTGCTTAGGTAAAGCTGCCCACCGTGGTTTAGATAGTGTATCGGAGGTCAGATGTACCACACGGACACCACCTTGAAACTCGGGAAGAACTAGCTTATTTATACTTTCATTTTCCTCTTGATGCATAAATATTATAGGGTACTCTCTGGGTACGATAAGCTGACAGTTACTCCCTAGCCTTGTCCTCATCCTGGTGACAAAAAGAACAAAGTGGACGCCGCAAGTAAGATACAAGATAATCGCCACTTTAGAGCTGTTTTTTGTTTTGTTTTGTTTTTTAACTTTACGAAACACTGCTACAGTATGTTACAGGTCAAGAAGGTAGCGGCAAATGCCCCTCAAAGGGATTCTAATATCCCTCCGCCACCTCCGCATCCAATAGTGTCCCATCGTTTCCGTGACGTTGTGGCCAATGCGGGAGAGGGTTTTACCTTCCTGTGAATATTTGCTTTATCTTTCGACTTTGACTTAGCGTTGCAGAAGCCACAAGAGGGAGATTAGAATTTTCCCCCTCCGATGGAAACAAATACGACTTTGGGGGGGGTAGGTTCCCCCTCCAATGGATACAAAGCCTTTCAGGGGCTCGGTTCCCTCTCCTGTTAATACAAAGGTCGCTTTCTTAAAGAGTGGAGGTCGGAGACAAGTTGGCATCACTCTGTAGCCATTATCTATTCATTGAAGCGGAACAAGGGGCGTTTCCAGGGAACTATTCTTTCGACTGCGGATGGATTTGAAACGGGCACATCATGCTTATGGGACGAGCTTCTCCTACCTTCTTGACTTGTAACCGACTATAGTATACATCCACGCCACATTATAGATTATAACCTACCGTTATGTGGTTCTTGTCGATCACGTTGAGTTCTTCCAACGTGAGAGGGTGTTCAGGGTCATTGATCGACCTAAGGTGATGTAAGACCGTTAAGGAAAGCGAACTGGAAAACATCATAATAGGAATGGAAACAGTGTACATTGCACATCCCCATATATAAATACTTATAAACACATCTTGGGAAGGAACAGCGGCGAAAAACTTGAACAAGGGTAAAGAAAAAACAAGGGTGGCCCCAAGTGAATACAAATGTTCTCTAAGTCTGTCATTTAGACAGTGGCCCGTCTGTCCACCATAGACCACATGACAAGGGGATCTTACAAACCACGCCAGACATAAGCCACAAACTGTACTACATGCTTTTTGGTGCACTTCCTTTTCCGACGCTTTTCGGCGGTAGCACCGACCTTTGAACATCTCTGACCCGTTTTCTGTGGGGCAGAAAACATCACTGGGACACCATAGCAATCTCCGAATTGCTTAAAAAGACATTGAGGACGATTTTATTTAATTTTTTTTTAAATGGTGTTTTAGGCTTCTTGGGAACCTAGCACGCTGCCTAATTTTTTGTAGACATTTGTGACGTGTATTTCTGTGCCTATGAAAGCACTGAAGAAACCAAAATTGAACTATCTCCATTCTCATTTCTGGGCCTCCGAAAACGGAGGTGACGTAGTGAGTGACGTCAAGTGTGAACAGTTGGTATCGGTAGTATTTAGGAGATTGAGACTCTGGCTACCGCAGTGAGATATAGCAGCGCAGTGGCGCGGTCGTTTCGTCAAATCTGTCAACATGGGCGACAATGCCGCTCTCGCGAGTGAGTTCGAGCTTCCATTCAGTGACCTAACATCAACGGAACGGGAGTATGTGTGTGGCGGCCTCCGCCATCACCCGACGGAGACCGTCCTGCAGGCTCCGAAGCAGTGAGCAACATTCGCACAGGCGAGACGAGAGCGGCACGATGCCAAAGGACACGGACGCAGGGGAGATGCCGAGGAGAAAACAGCAGTGACCAAACCGTTTTGGGAACCGGTTCCTCCGCGGGGGATGCTCCCCAAGAAGGAGAAAATAAACAGCACCATTTATGGTTTTCACCAAAGCCGGACGTCCTCTTTTCGTCGTCAGAGAACACATTGCCCATTTAGCGTCCAGCGTAGCAAAGAGAAAAACAATTACGCTGTTTTATTTACGGTTTAGTAACTATTTCCGGTCAGATTTATACTTTTCATGGTTTTTCAAGCGGAGATTAGAACAGTATTCCTAAAAATCACGAACCAAGACGTGACCGACGGCACGTGTCTCGTTTCGCCCAATTGCCGACGCGTCTCTTGTGACATCGCGCTTCTTGGCCCCGCGACGGTCACGTGAGCTCCGATTCTCCTGGCTTCTCCTGCAACACTTGGGGTGTCGCCTCAGTCAATCCCGGTACGATTATTACCGCGACTGTTTAATTAATTTGTGCGGCACACAAGCGCCGGTTTCGGCTGAAATTTGGGCAATGTGGCTTGAGACGAGCCTGGAACCCAGTTCAATCACCAAAAAGATATCCGAAATTACCTTTATTGTCCCTTTAAGGTCCGTCCGTCAAAATGGCAGATGGAAACCCTGACAGCTTCAGTCTTTTAACCTGCCCGTTAAAACTGTCCACCATCAAGTGGACGCACAACTTTCCTAGGGCGGACCCAAGACGAGACACTGCAATTCTCCTTTTTACCACTTTTGAATGGCCTGACCTATAGTACAGAATGGCCTTTTCTGAACATGGACTAAACGACCAACAACGTTTTTCTTAAAAGCACAACGGAAGGTCAAGGAATTGGAGAACCCCTTTGTTGGACTTTTCAAATGCAAACCTGAGCCCCCTAGCCAGAGTTCTCAATAAACAAAGTACCTTAGCCTGTGTACCAGCCCCATCAGCCCCCTCAAACACAACCAAAAAATTGTTCCCATAGCAAAACACTTTCTTGAAGGTGAACACTGCAAGAACACTTTTGACACTTCTATCCACTTCGCCAAGATAGATGTCACTAATTATTCGGGTCACACAGGACCCAATGCAAACTCCCACTTTTTGTAGTTCTTCGTTGCACTCTATACATGACTTGACTGAAGAGAACAATGGATCATGAGTAGGGTTCCGCGTTTTCGGTTTCTATTTTTTCACAATTCGGCGTACTTTTATCGGTGTTTATTATAAAATACAATTTTCGGTTTTTTTCGGTGGATATTTATGCCCACAAAAGTTTATCGGCTTTTTTTGGTGAATATAAAATAAACGCCAACGGACACAGGATCAGATGACCCTTGTACGTAGCTCTGATATTTGTGATCACTCAAAGAATAACGGCGCAGATACATTGAAAAAGAAATGGACACTTCATTTGGCAAATGTGTGCAACTGTAAAAGAAACAACAAAAAAAACCATAGAAGTACAAACAAGTCAGATATAAAGCCTATGCCCAATAAACATGAAACTTCACTTTCTGTACATCAGGATTACGCTATCTCATTATAGTACACACACATGTACTTGCCAAGGTTCTTCTCCTTAATCCGCACTCTTTCTTTTCTGTTAATATGACCCTGAGCTTCGAGAATGCCCTTTCAACGCTAACCCTGGACACTGCAAGCTGAGGAGATGAAGCGCTGCCTGAGCAACCAATTGTGACCGCTGAAAAAGGCACGGTGTGACGTTTTAAAGCACAACACAACATGCAGAGCTTGCATCACGTCAGTCTTCCTCACAACGAGCTTGAAAGCACGCTCGTACATGGCGAAGTCATGGGGCATTTCGGACTTCACGTTCCGATCGATGATGCGCACACTAAACCAAAACGTCGTAATTGCATTCGCGTATCCCATACATTCGGGCACGTTTCGAATCGATAGACTCTGTCGTTCCACTTTTTCGCCACGGCTCTGTTGTACGACTGGAAGGTCAAAGTGATCTTTTCCCGTTAAAACTGAATTTTAGGAAATGGACTCGACGAATGTTTATCGGTTTTTATCGGTTTAAATCGAAAATTCCGAACCTAAAAACTGACCTTTTTCGGTTAAAACCGAATTTCCAAAAATGAATTCGGCGTACTTTTATCGGTTTTTATCGGTTTAAACCGAAAACTCCGAACCCTAATTATGAGGCAGAGAATACAAAAATGTCCTCTACATCTACACAAAATGCCGAGAAATTTCCAAACTTGTTAATTTCAAAAGAAATCCCCCACAACCTTAGAATTAGAAACTCTGAAAGGGTCTCCAATGTCCAACGGCGACAACTGTTTCTGCACTGCCAAGTATGTCTCTTTTATAAAAGCCCTAGACAGGCATAAGTCTTTAGGTGTCTTAACACTGAAAAAGACTTCTAGGTGCAGGCCTTCCAATTTTTTAATGATCTCCCCCAACTCCTCAACTATGAAGGGCATTACGTAACCACTAATATGGCTTATCATGACAAAAAAAAAAAAAATATATACTGCTTGGTTGGCGCGTGTCTGGTGTCTATTTTGTCTGATTAAAATGCTTCTTGTTTTCTTCCTTCCTTTTTTGTTTAAAAAAAAAAATAGTTTAGTTCAGCGCCGTCCTGTCGTGTTTTTCTTTACCCTTCTCCAAGCTGTTTTGCCGCTGTTCCTTCCCCAGAAGTTCACTTTAAACCAACTAGCCCAATACGTCACATTATTGCACTTGTAAAAACACTGAAGGCACCTTTCATTGCCATGTTCCACATAGAGTGTAATCAGATTGCAACGCCTGCAAAGTATCGTTAATTTGGACGGAGATGAAGGAAGTATCACTTTACAGAGTGGATCCTTCCACGAACTGCGTTTTAGCTTCCGAGTGCTCCAGGGCAACGCGATATGCCAGCCAAAGGATATCAAATATTTCTCGTGCGTCGATTTCATCTTCGATGCTGTCGTCTAATTCTTCCGCTGTCGTTTCTCGATCTTTTGCCCGTTCGTACGTAGAAGGCGCTAAATTGTCAAGCCCGTCATTACGCACCATGTTTGCAGTTTACCTACGATTGGATTGGATTGGATAGTAAGTGCCCGCCCCCGTGCCGAAAACACTACTGAAATAACGTAGAAGAAATTACTTAACTTCTTTAATATAATATTATTATCTCAAATAATATAACACCATACTACTACGCTGATCTTCCTTTTTGGTGTTATCCGTGATACGAAACCTTCATTTCTATTTCGCCCCCGTTTCGCCGTTTCGTTTCGGTTTTTGAGTTGTTCGGTTGTTCTCGGAGAAATGGCAGAGGAAAGCCAAGAAGCGTTCGAAGATTTGAAAGAGCACGAAAGCGGAGAGAATTTTCCGTTGGCATCAATAAAGGTGCTGTTTTCCCTACATTTACAAGAGAGTGCGATTGATTTCGCCAGTAGCTGTTAAAATTAGCTCTGTCCAAATTTTCGAAAGGGGAAGTTGATTGACAGCTGTCTCACCCCTCCCTGTTTCAGAACGCGATCGAAGACTTGTACTGCTTTCGAGACAGCTATTACGTGAATAACCCCAGCGCAAGTGAAACAGAGAAGAACGGTGACATCGAAGACAAGCTCCGAGGCGTCCTCGCAAGTTTAGACGCCAATGAAGGTAGGCCGCGCTGTGAGCTGCGTTGATTTCGTGGATCTTGCGTTCACTTGCGATCTGTCAAACGCCGGCCAGGTTCACTCAAGAAGTCGGATCGAGCGATGTACCACATGCTCAGGGGGAAAGCGCTCAACATCAGGCCACACTTTGAGACCGAAACCTACGAGGCGTTGTCGAGAGCCGTCAAGTTCAACCCCAAACTCGTGGAAGCCTGGAATGAACTCGGGGAGTGTTACTGGAAGAAGGGAGACATCCTCAAAGCGCAAAACTGTTTCGAAGGCGTCCTCAAAATTGTGAGTAGTCAGTTTGCCTTATCAACCGCCACCCCCAATTTATTATTCTTTTGCGCAACTCGTCAACTCGTCGCAAACCTCACCCATTGTGATGGGTGAACTTGAGCTAGTTTGACCCATTGTAGTATCACTGGTCATGGTTTATCTGGCATCGCATCTTGTCAAGCATGTAAAGCACCGCAATCTTGCTCACTGAAGCGCCATAGTGTGCAGCCTCTAAATTCGTATGTGGCCATGTGAAAGGGCCTTGCGTGAGGCTGTGTGCCCTTCCAAGTAACCACAATTTCGATACCATGCTCCAACAGACCAAAGACAAGGTTTCGCTACGGAATCTGTCAATGCTGCTGCGGCAAGTTGGAGAGACACCGGAAGACAAGCTGAAGAATGTTTGCGACAGTGTAGAAAAAGCGAAACAGGCACTGGAGCTGGACATCACAGATGGAAATTCCTGGTGTTAGTATTTCACCCTTCGTAACGACTTTTATCTTGTGACGAGCATGGCTTTGTTTTCCTTTGTTAATGACAACTCTGACCATTGCAGATATTCTTGGTAATGCTTACCTGGCTCTATATTTTTCGGGATCTCAAAATGCCAAAACAGTTCAGGAAGCAATGTCGGCCTATTCAAGAGCTGTAAGTACCTCAGTTAAGCCTGACCCTTTGGCATCAAAGTTCCATTCAAAGTATTTTAACGGTGTCATGTCACTGCCTCACAAGGAGTTGCACAAGTTTAACTTTTTTTTTTTCTTTCTTTTTTTCAACAGCTAGAAGATCCTAAAATGAAATACTCTTCAGATCTGTACCACAATTTTGCGGTGGTAAGCACGCCCGTGTCGTTTAGGCATCGCTTGTTTGTCTTTTTGTCTTCTGAACTTTTCACGAATTGTGCTTACAGGCTCTGAAACACCAGGAGGACTTTCAAGGAGCACTGCAACACCTGGATAAGGCAGCTGCTTTGGACCCCAGTTATAGCAACCCAAAAGAAAAAAGCCAGAATCTACTGAAGTACTTGACCACGCTTGACAAGATGATCTCTAATAAGGTTAGAGAACAAGATGATATCTAACAAAGCTAGTTGGATTTGCTAGCAACTTTTTCCACGGCATGGATCAGTACTATCAGAAGTGCTTTGGGGATGGGGGCGAAGAAGGAGGGAGACACCCCCTCTCCCTCAAATTGTCTAGTCTACTTCGTTTCATACTTAGTGTACAACACTGTAAAAGTTACTGCCTCGAGTATGTTTTCATTTAGCGTTTGACTCGCATGCGTTTTCATTCAAATGAAAAGCTAGATAAAGACATGCTCAGGTTAGTAGTTTTGACAGCATTGTACACAAAGTGTGAGACGGAGAAATCTTTAGTATTTAGGGATCGCCTCTTCCCCCCCTCTCTCCTTTTCCTGTTCCCATGGTGTAGACCTTAGCTGCTGTGCCATTTGGGGCATCCCCTACTTCCCAACAAAAAACCTTTGCTGTTTTTTGTTTTTTTTTATATACTGTAAACGACTTAATTTTTGCGAGGACTTCATTTTCGCGACATGCCTACCATTTGCGAAAAATAGGTCCCGCGAACAATTCTGGTAAAATGTGAACGCAATGTAATTTATGTTGAGATCCCACTGCGTCGCGAAAATTAGAACCCGCAAATTACTCCAGAACTTCAGCTTTGACCTAAATCGCGAAATATTGAGCTCGCAAAAAATAAGTCGTTTACAGTATATATTTGCTTTTTGCCGTTGTTGTAGCCGTGAAAACGGAGAAAGCAGGCATGTATCCACAAATCGCTGCCTCACGGTGTTTGCTTTTTACCTTTACTATTGATGCTCCTCGATGCATAGAGCCTCTGCCAAACGGCAACATCTTTGCTCTTATTAATCCTACCATTTGACTCTGTCCACTGTTAGTATATCAGCGATCCCAATGTGAGTACCATTAAGTGCAGTGGTTGTTGTTTCACAATGAAATACGAGAACAGTTTAATGGTGCTGTGAGGCTGGCTCTTGGCAAATGTGTGGCTTCAGTGCCCTGCACCAACAGTTCCTTCCCAGTTTGATATCCATCACTATAGACAGGGGCTTTTGTTAGGACAAGCATAGTCGTTTGCAGGGGGGGGGGGGGGCCAAGTGTGCTATGGCCCACCTTAATGACTCTAGAGAAGAACAAATTAAGTAAGGTTCTTTATTTGTTGGTTACACAACAAAAATAGATCCTTACTTAATTTGCACCCCTCTGAACTATAGCATGCCCCCCCCCCCCCCCCCCCCCCCTGCTGTGCGTGCCTATGAGGACAAGCCCACAGTATTTTCTTACACTTTCTACAGTTTGATGAACAAGATATATTGTGCGGAGGCCCAGCTCTTTCCACAGATTGTCTTATTTTTATTTCGCAGGCTGTGGCCTTTTTTTTTTGTTTAATTGCGAGAAAAGTTTGACACGCTCTTAAAATTATTTCTAGTTCATCTATTTAAAATAAACATTGCTATAGTTATGTTGTTATTTTTTCCCACTTTTAATAAAACAAGGGTGCATTCACCTGCCCATTAAAGCACACAACATGAAAACTGCGCTCGAGAGGGTGCAGGTAAATGAGCAGGAGCGATGATGCGTCATCCCAGGGGAACCTGAAGCCTCGCAAGGTGAAGACCCTCTTGGCCAGCCTCAAGCCACACCACCTGGGCCCCTTCAGAGACCACGCCACCATCAAGGTCAAGAAGTTCAATGAACTCGTGCCTGGCAAGAACCCGAGCTGCGTCCTGGCGGCCAAGGTGGTCTGCAACCTCGACTCTGAGGAGCGCTTTCCCCTGTGAGCCCCTCACACTTGTCTTGGCCAAGCCGAGCCAAGCCCGGCCCCTTAACAAACCTTTAAAATAGTCCTACAAATAAGATGCCAAAACTCGAGCAGAAAGGTACAGTTAGTGCAAATGGTGCCTCTTTAGGCTTTCTAAACTCAACAATCCTGATTTAAAGGTTTTTTGTTCTTTTTTGTATATGTGGCCGTTGAAAATTGACTCTTCCCCCTTTCTTTTTTTTTTTTTTCTCTTCTGGCCTTGGTGCCCTTGTCAGGCAACTGGTTTTGCCTTTAGCACCAATGACGTTTCTAAGGTTTCCTTCCCTCCCTCCTTGGAAAAGACAAGAGCTGAAACTGGTTGCTAAAGAAGTATTACTGATTTCCATTTAATGTGATGCTTTAAGATGGCTGTACTAGCATTTTGCAATTGCTGTCGGCTATTTAGTGGACCTTTTCCTAGGAGAGTTCTATGCATCTGCATGCTTGCCTCAAACAGCGGCAAAAGCTCGAATCATGATCTGTGGACGGAAGGGGAAGTGTTGGAAGCTTCATGGGGAGATGTGCTACCTCTCCTGCCTCCTCTACATCTCATGCGTTTCCATTTTTCTTCAAATGACTGCTAGGTTATTATGTGCAACGCAGTCTTCTCGGAAAGGAATGCTCATTCCGCTAGGTAATACAAAATTTTACGAAACCCTTTTTCAACCTTGATGTAATCCGGCCAAGACCCATCAGTATCATTGCCAAACGACGTGCCAACAGTCCATTCTCCTTGCAAACTTGCTATTCTGTTTGCGGAAAAAGTTAAAGGTGCAATCATTCACGAGAATCATTCAATCTTAATTTTCCCTATTAAAAAATTCGGGTGAAACAAGAATGGATTTCCGGCACACGGTCCCACCGGGCGTAGATTCTGTGCCGGCCACTTGGTGCCGTCCTTATCTGGCAGAGGTTTATTGAAAAGTATTTTGTTTCGAGATGCAAAGATATTCATATTTTTTGATAGCCACATCTTAGCAAGAGCTTCTTTGATTGGTGGGTGCAGACTGCTTAAAAATATTTGGGAATGCCGATAGGTAGCACTTGTAAATTTCTTGACATGCTTGAAAGGGAGGCTGGTAGAAGCTAATTTGCATCTGCAGATCATATCTTTGAAAGCAACGAACCGACATTCAAATATGTGAAAGTAATCTATGAGTGACACGTCGACTTTCGTGACATTTACACCTGACTCTTTCGTGCCCAGCACACTCTGTACCGTGGATGAAGATGCTGTCTGCTTTGCCGTAACCATCTACAATCTGGCGGAAGGGAAGGGTTTTCTCATTGGTGACACCATCGTCATTCCGGACCCGCTTCTGTGCAAGGCCCACATTGAATACAAGGACCATGTAAGTTTCCAGTCACCTTCACATTTTTTTGTCTGGGAGAATTTTGAAAAATGGGTTTAGCTAAGAAAAAGAAAATCTAGATGGCACGCAATTTTTGGTTTTATGAACCAGTACACATTATACAAGATTCCACTTTAAGTTTTGATATAGTGCTCAAATGAACAACTTTTTCAAGTTAGTAGCATATGCTGTTTGTGCATCATTTTAAGCTTGTAGGCCCAAGTTTTGTAAGCCCGAATTTCACGACATGTATATTTGAAACAGACTGGAGGCGAAGACTTGCATGGTTACTGCCACAGCGAAGCGAAGGATTCGTAAGTGGGGGTAATGAGTTTTAACTGTAAACAGGTACGAGCAAAGCTGGTTAATTATTTATAACTATGACATTCTTCAGTGTGGCCAAATGTGTTTCGTGTTTTCCCACACTTTTGCCGTATTGTTTTTTCTGCATACACTCACAAATTATTTCTGTATGCCTGTAGAAAATCCAAAGTAATCTAGAAAAGATGCACTGAATATAACTAACTATAAATAGGACAAGTCTTTTTCCCCAATGGGGGAGTTAATTCTGGAGGCGTGCCGGGAATCGGATTGTGCACACTTACCCTGTTTGTTTTGCCACGCTAATCAGGAGTCTGACCTTTGTGGCGTCAGAGTAACTTATATGCCCACAAGCGTCATGAATTTATAAACACATGGCTGGCATTTTTAGCTTGATGAAGCATTTCGTTTCATTTTCTTTCCAGGTAATCTCGTTTTCTAACATTCGCGTCGACTCTCCCCTTGCACTGGTCATCAACGGGAGAGTCATGAATCCCTCGAGCCAGGCACCAATAAGTCTTCACGTCGAAATCAAGAGGGAGTAACACAATGGATGGTGCTGGTTTTTTTTTTTGGTTTTTTTTTACTATGGAAGCTTTTTCTATTCAATGTATGGAAGTTTAATGATGGCTCCTTTCCTATGTGGCCTGGCAGCCGAGCGAATGAACTTGAGATCTACCCAACAGTTTCGTGTTGCGCGTTGTTACAGATGGATCGCGTGATGTATCATCGAGCCAATGGCTTGATTACAATGTCAAATTAATGGTATGGGATGGACGAAGTCTCCATCATAAGAGAGAAGGCATCTGTTGATATGCACTCAACAACCCATGAGGACCAATTTTGGAGATGTCTAATGGTGGCTGCCTTAGATGCTGAGTGTGAGAGATCAAAGTTTTTGTGTGTAGTTTCATTTAAGCAGCAGAACTGCAAAACAAAAGGTGACAAGGGATGTTTTCATGGCAGGATATAACATTGTCACTGACAAAGTTTCTCCCCCAAGTTGTTTTCATTATTTGAAACTTCAAATGACTTCTGCATGTACTCTGTATGTCGTATGTGCTAGACTTGGCAACGAATAGGAGTCTATTTTAGAAGTTATTTCATGATCTTTTTTTTTTTTTTTTCAGTATTGAGCAAACTGTTTCAGATACTTATAATCTTTATGGTCACATTAGTTGTTGTTTTTCTTCCCTGTCTTTAAGCAGTGTGTTTGATCTTTCTGAAGAAGAGTTCTGTGTCTGAAATCCAAGTGGGCTTCAAAGCTCTGCAAAAAGGTAGTAATAAAATGTGTGAGAGAGCTGAAGTGATAGAGACATACTGATGAATATGTCAGAAATGCATATGCACATACTTTTCTATCATAAAAAGACCTTATGTGAAATTGCTTGGTGGTCTGACAACACTGAAAGTTTCCCCATCTAATGTTGGCAAGCGTCATCGGTACCAAAGCACGGTGGATGCATTAGAGACAACCGTACGGGCAGTGTGTGAGGGCACAGCAGCTGTGTTTTCCGCCTTCCGACCATAGAATGTGGACGAACAATTTAAAAACAACCTACCGCAACTATCTGATGAAACTCTTGGGGGCCTGTGAGCGCTATCGCGCCATCGCACACTGCCCGTGCAGTTGTCTCCTATGTTTTCACCGTGCTTCGGTACAGATGAACGACGCTTGCAAACATTAAAATGGCGACGCACTCAGTGTTGTCAGACCGCCAAGAAATTTCGCATAAGGTCGCATTTCAACCTGATTCTATTGTGACTGTGTGTGCCAGAAATTAAGTGTTACATACATAACTTAATGTCATTTTGTACTGCTGAAACTGTCTTCTCGGCATGTTTGATTATAAAACATAAGCACAAATTCTGGTCTGAGGAATCTCATACTCGTGTTTTAGCACCTTTAATTGCAAAAAAAAACAAAAAAAACACTAGCGTCAAACTGCTGTTATTGGATGTCTCTGATTTGGAAACATTTCCAATGCCCTGTCGCTCTATGGAACATATTTCCCTAGGGACGTATTCGTGGCGTTCTTAGGAAATTTTTAACCAGAAATTCCATAGGAAATCTTTAACCACGAGTGTATGCAAGGCAGACGCTGCTGCATGAAGGAAACCTCGGCCGACACTGAGAACGAGAATGGATTGCTGGCTGTGTTATCTGTCGTAGCAGCTTGTAGCTACGTGCAGTGTCAAAAATGCTTCCTGCTCAAGCACACGAGTACTATGTACTCATACTGTTATAAATTAAATATAAGGTTATTAATAAGCTTCTTTTTCTTCTTTTCTTTAAGACATAAACTTATGGGGGAGACGGAAATCGCTCTTTGTGATCTCCGCCACCCCTTTAAAATAGCAGCAGCATCTGTCGTACAAAGACATTACTAGGGCAGAATTCGGTGGGCTTTCCAGACTGGAGACATCGAAGGACTACAGTAAAACTTGCAAAACAAAAATAACTTGCACATATCTAAAATATTTTTTGGGGGAAAGCTCAAGAGATGCGTGTTATTCAGTGAAGCAGCCAACTGTCCTGACCATGTACTTCAATTTTGTTCTCTGTTAGAAGCTTGTTAGCTAGTTATGGTCATGTTTGCATAATGTCCACTGCGCCTCTCTTTTAAAAATGCAAGTGTTATTTGGCGGTATACTGAAGCTGGCAGCTTTGTTTCTTGGCCTTCTCTGTTTTCTCACCTTGTATATAATAGGATATGAATTTGTGGTTTGTAATACTAACTACCATGCGACTTTTGAGTGAGACTGAATAAAAAGTGATGTTTATTCAGGTGCTCCAGTTTGATCTCCCTCTCTGGCAATCTTATTTTATATTCCTGGTATTGTTTCTTTCAATATATGTCTTGTTTCTCTTTCCAGATTCAAGTACAGTATTTGAAAAATTGAGCAGTCCTGTGTTAATGAACAGAGTGCAGTCGTGGCGAATAGCTGCGACACGTCACGGCGAACTTGTTGGGCATCGGCATCGCGTTCACACACCGTGGGTTGCGTGAACAAAAGCGTAGGGGACAACATAGATGTCTGACCATTTTGTTCCTAACGCTTTTATTCCTTTTTTGTTGCGGAGCGCAAGCGCTTTCCTGGCACGAGCTCTTGGCAGTCACAGAGCTACGACGGCATTTTGTTACCTGCAATTTTTTTTTTTTTTTTTTTTTTTTTTTTAGCGAGCGTTGGCAGTTTGGCGACAAAGTCATAGAGTGCCCGGTCGCAGATATGGAGCGCGATGATCTGGTAGCAGAGAGCATTTCTTGGGGAACCTGGACGTCAGCGCAGAGCTTTTGCAGCGGCGACGACCCGAAACATACGGTTTTCAAACCCGACGAGAAAAGAGGCGGTAGCGCGAGGAGCACGAGCGGACATACCATCGCTCGGGTGAAGTGTATTTCGGCGTCTCGCCGCAGCGGGGCGCCCGTCACGTGGCTCTCCTCTCATTCGTTGTCTGCCGCTCTACCTTTCCAATTTCGGCGGCCGCGTCTCGGGATGATCTGCCAGTCTTTGCCAGTATAGAGGACGCTATGGTACCACAAATACCCGAAGTGTAAAGTGGGTTGTTAGCGTGATGGCGTCGGCTCTGTGGTAACGCATCCACTTCGCAAGCAGCGTACACGGGTTCGATTCCCGCGGGCGGCGGGCGATCTCTCTCAAGGTGGTGGTGGGAAGAACCCCATAACAGCCATCGATCGCTGTAAAAAATACTTCGAGTCGCGCGCTTACGAATGTGAGAATGATCACTTTCAATCCAGCATTTCAATTTCCCGCCGCTGCTGAACAGTCGGAAGGTCGCATCGATTACCCGCAGATGGCGCCACAGCCTCCAAGGGGGGTTGCCGGGAAAAGGGGCGCCACTCTACTGCGAGCGAGCGAGCTTTTTTGCGGTGCGGGCACTCATGAAGATCAAACATGATAACCTGATAAAAGGCTCTGCCAAAGTCCAGCGCTTTTCGGAGCCATGCTGGACTACATATTACCGGACTTCTTTGGCGACGAAAAGGTGAGCTCCGCCGCTTGGTAGGGCCTCGCTCAACTCGTCCAGCTCCGATATGCGTCAGTGGAAAAACATCGTGCCGGAGCGGCGATGGTGCAGGCTTTCTTGTTTGCGTCGCGCAGCGCTTTCCTTCGCGATTTTTAAAAGCTCGGGAATGGCTTCGGAGGAAATTCCTCGTCTACCTTTACGACGGATACCATCGCTGTCTTCGACGAATGCCCAGTTGCACGAATTCTACTTTGAAGCCAACGATGCTCAACAACACACACAAAATGCTCGCTTTACGGCTAGGCCTAATGGGTTACTTTGCTCGTTCTTATTTTGCTTTCGGCCAACTTTTGCGAGGCGCCAGGGTTGAGTGTGCGCGAACGGGGGGAAGGGAAATCGCGTTCTGCACATGTACTCCGAACACGAGCTTCTCCACTGAAACCTGTCTCGTTTTAGAACGGGCTGGCCAAAATGTATTGCGCGCTGCATTGGCTGAATATCATCGATGTACTTGCGCGAACTGATCCTAATCTTACGTCGTTGTGACGGGGGAAGAAAAAAAAAAGGGGGGGGGGGGGGGGGGCATGCATTCGCTAAATTGACGCCGTCATTAAATCCGACGACGCTTTCGTACTAGTTCAGCCGATTTGAGTGAGAGAAGACCGATATATATCGAAGTGCATTTTAAACAAACTTTTAAAGTGATTCATAAAAAAAAAAAAAAAAAAACTACAGCCCGTAGTCCGTACACCCGTCTTATCAGTTCGTTCACATTTAGCGCGACCGACCATTTTCTTTAGTGGTAATTTGAATTATATTCGGGAGTGTTCCGATCGTAGCAGACGACCCATAAATAAATAACAAACATTAGGGGGGGGGGGGGGGGGAGTAATGATGGAGCGTGGGTGGCGAGTTTGTCCCTTCGCGCCAAGAGCGCGCTCGATGACAGGCTGTTGGTGGCCTAATACGTTCCGGAGTGTTTACTCGGCGTGTTTCGAGGGTACTCTTAACCTGAAGGCTGGTGCCGTTGCGTAACCTTATCAATGCAAAATTCCGCGCTGTAGCGCTGCACCCTAAAGCCCAAACGAGACGGCTGATATTACGCGCTTTCTCATCTCTATATTATATTCCACAAAAAAAAAAAAAAACAGCAGCGGGAAGAAGGAATGTGTTATTGCGTTGACACTGCACGGTGGCGTAAAACAGGCGGCTGTTCGTTTCCTTTTTTTTCTTTTTTTTTGTTGTTTTTTGCTATCCCTCTGCGGTGCACGTACACTGCGCCACACTGTTGACGCAAACACGACGTCGGCGTCTTTTTTTTTAAATTTTATTTGGAAAGAGTATTGTCAAACATGACCGCTTTCCACCGCACTAGTAGTTGTGATAACAGCCTTTTAAGTCTAAAGAAAAACTAGGAAAGAAAAAAAAAACGGCGATCACCTGACCGCCATAACAGTGTCTCGCTCTGTGCGCGTATAGGCCGGCGCTCTGTTTCCAAACGAGCCCTCGCGAGGTGCCGGCAATCGTGCAGTTTCCGCACGAGGTGTGGAGGGCACTTCGCGTGCGCAGAAACCAGATTCGCGTCAAGTGAACCGTCTGCGCATGCGCCCTGCCCATCGCAACGCCGTGACGTCAGGACCGTCGTGTTGATGTATAGAGAGCTACGGGGCAGGTGACCGTATTAAAAAAAAAATCGCATTATATATATATAGCACTGTTCCCCTCAATGGTGAAATTTATAGTAAGTAATTACTGCCCGTGCTACTTCGCACACTTCTACGCTAAAGAGGAGCAAAAAAAAAGGAAGGACGCAACTTGGCCATTCGCCCCCAACTCGTACATTCTCGCACCACAAAAACGGAGGCACACAGACTTTGATGATACGCCTTCTCCTCGTACTGCTGCTACGAGGGGCATCTTGCCCGCTCCTTGCGAAGCAGACCTGGACGAAATAAGCGCTCAGACGTAGTCGTGTGCCCCGATCAATGGCGACCTCTCAATCAATCTACAAGACCCCCGTTAAGACACTCTCGGTGCCGGCGGAGGGGAGGGCTCTTGACACGCGAGGTCCGCCCGTTGCCAACGGTGCCACCGAGACACCAAAAACATTTCCCACAGCTGGTGCAGTTAGCGCAGCGCTCGTCGATCGTCTCCGAGCGTCGCCCGGTTGCAGCGTCCTTTTTTTCTTGGTCATCCGGGGACGCCTACATCGGTTTCTTTTTTGACTCCGCCAAAACTACCAAACGTCGCCACCGAGAATTTCACTCGCTAAAGCCGCCTGTTGTTACCGTCACCGGTGGATCTGTGATCCCCAAAGTTAGGTCTGGTAATTTTCTAAAAGTGTCTTTTCGCGCTCAAAACTACCGTGTGCCGCGTTTCTCTGGTGCCGTTTAGTTGCGGTCACGTTTCGTTTATCTGATCCTTTTGATGCCCTGCGCAATCCGCTCAGAAATCAAATTAATCGGGTAGCCGAGCCCGATGTCACGACCGTTATTCGTATTTCGTTCCCCGCTTCTCTTGTTTACTTAGATTCAGCGAGTGTCAAGCGTGTTTAGTGAAAATTCGCCAGCATGTCCTACTTTTGGGTAGATCCAGTTGCCATATTTCACACTTACAATTTTGATTAGTTTCCAGACTGCACTCGTTGTGATTTCGAGCGTTTCCCGGAATGACACTTCTCCGCACTATGCTAGCTTGAGTGGAGAAGCCAACTTTACGAGCGCGGGCGATTCTTGCTTCTGAATTGCTGGAGCACGCTAACGCAGACCTCGTGTGGGGTCTTTTCGTTCCTTGGCCGCTGGCACAGGCTCGGATGTCCATAGAGCCCTTGGTCCAGGCAGGAGTTCAGCACGGGACTCGATGTCAGAGCCGATGCTGCAGCCCGGCAACGGGCTTCCAGAATCCGGCGTTCAGGCACGATGCCCTCCGAGGTCAGGGTGCGCACATCTCTCTCATTGCACTGTCTCGTTTTCCCTGCGGCTAACATTGTGTAAGGGTTTCACGAAACTTCAAAAAAATGTTAAAACTAAATTTTCACTTTTTTTTTTTTTTTTTAGATAAGCGATTTGGTTTGCTTTTAGCATGCCGCTCAAACCGCGTTTTGTGCACTACCTGAGCACCTTTTCGCACAATTTGTGTTTTCCTTCGAATGCCCGATTTTGCTTTGTTTCTGCCATGCGAATAATGTTGAAAGTGTTTATTTATTTGGCGACACGATAAATACCAACTATGTTTGAAATCGCATGTCGTACGCTTTTTTGTTTGCTTTTTGGCAGTTGTGTAATGCAGTTGTGTAATCGGGGCAAACGTTACAGTGTCGCATAATAAATGGTCGTCTGCTCTTCCCGCACTTAACTCTTTTTTTTTTCTTCTGCATTCTTTGCAATGCTTCGATCGGTGACGTTTATTCCTTGTCTGCTTCGAGCTACTTTAAATACGTCGGAGAACTTGCGGTCGAACATATTCTAGCTTCTACATTCGTTCGTTTCTTCCCCGAGCTTACACGGAAACCAGTAACCTCAAGGTTCCCCCCCCCCCTTTTCACTTTGAAAAAATTCTGCAACTATGTTTATTCTTTGCTTCTTCCCCTACGCGTGTCTCGCTGGCAGATCACTGCAACGAAGCGGTCGCCGGGAAAAACGCCAACGGCCAACGAAATCAGCCTGGAAACAACGACTCTTCTACAGGTCAGAGAATAATACTCCCTTTTTGTTCTCCCCGCAGTTCCGTAGCTAGCATACCCTTGTCTGTGATACTGTATAAAAATTATACCAAAACTGGACAAATGAGCGAGCCGCAGTTTTGGAACCCCGGGTTACCAGACACACTGCACCAGCGAAACTCCGCCCCTTTACTGCGGACAAATGTCTCCACAGTTCGAGGCAAACTGTCGATGGCTAAGCGTTCATACACTTTTTCCTCGTATGCGTTCGTTCGGGAAGATAAACAAATAAAAAAAAAATGAACAGCATTGAACAGTATCCACATTTGTACGACACGCCTTCACTGTCCCGTTCGTTTTCCTCGACACTGCAACGTGGTGAAAATTCTTAAACTTCTAGATATGGAGAACAAAACGAGTGCGCCGCGTTTTGTTCTCCATACCTAACATTAATCCTGCCCGCCCCCCCCCCCCCCCCCCCCCCCCCCCCGGGCCAAAAAAAAGGAATGGCCGGACGTGGGTGGCGAGGGCCTCAGTGGCAAAAAAAACGGCGCTCCGCGTGATTAAAGTGAGGCTGGGCCAGGCGTTGTCGACTCGCATGAGATCATGCATCACTCATGGAGCACCCTGTGGCAGACCAATTTCGGGTTTTTAATATTGCAAGCCGGCGGAAAGACAACGAGAGCGGCTCCGCCCGTGTCACCCGGCAACGCTTCGATGCGGGTCCCCGCTGACGGAGCACGAGTTGTTCGTCGGCCGGGACGGTCTTCTAGTGGCCAAGCGCGGCCGCTGCCAGTCCTACCGTTTCCCGAGAACCGCGGGCACGTTGTGCCGTTTGGTTTCGAGTTCGAGAGAGGCTTAGTCGGACGGGCAGAAAGCCGTCGTCAGCTGCTGAGGATCCGGTCCATCTGTTTTCAACGCGACTCCATGGACGGAAATTTGGCGGACGACGAAGGGGAACACAAGGCAATGACAAGTGCCTGCACGAGCCGTCGTGTGAAAAGACTGCCGCTCGGTGAGGCCGCTTAAAGAAGTCATTTATACCTTTCTCGTCCTTTGGGTGTTTCAAAGCGTAAAGCTTTAATTCGTATGCAAAATACGAGGCGAACGTTACAAAAAGAATGTATGCGGTGCACATCTCGCTTGAGGATGGAGCCCACAATTCCGGCGCCCGATCAGGAACTCTGAAAAAACGTGCTATTTAAATTGATTTGGGGATGGGCATTTCTTGAAATTCTAGAGAAAACAAAGAAATCTTGCAGCGTGCACACATTTCTAAGGTGTATAGCTGCTGATTATCCTCGGCGGTTCAGTGAGTTCACTTCTCGTGGTGCACCGTCGCCCAGGCCGAGAACGTATTGTTTTGAACATTCAGAGGACGCCCCAATATCCTCTGGACGTCCTCCGAACGTCCGATGGAGGCGCGTTTTGTACGTTGGGTAGTCGAGACATATCGAGCCAACAAGCAAACTGAGATGGAGGAAGCGACCGACTTTCGGCGGCGTGGGCCCCTTCTCTCAAGGGACGATCGCGATCTCCTTCGGAAAGCGCTTCAGGTCATTCAGGTACACGAGTACAGGATAAACACTCACGCTCGTAGTGTCGGTTTCGCCACAAATAACACGTACAATATAAACTTTTTTTTTTTTTTGCAATACGTGCATTTGTCCGTGGCGCCGAAAGGAATACCGAGAAATGCCTGTATAGAACCGGCTGTAGCAGACGACGATGGACACGCAGGCGAGCGGGCGAGGGCAGGCGAGCACTGCGCTACCAATACCTCCTAGATATAACAAAGTTGTAATGCTATTGTGCTCTATGTCACCTGCTTGTTCGGCTGGCAATCGTGTTCAATTCGTGAGGAGTTGCAGCCGAACTAAGGACTCCCACCGGTGGCGGGGGGGTCTCTGTTGTGGTCAACTCGGGGGGCGGGGGGGGATTAAGGGAATGCCTTCAGAAAAACAAACAGGGGGAGGGGGGGGGGGGGGGGAGGTCTTGATTGCTCGGCGGCCGACGTACCGCACGCTCACGCCGCACACACTCTCGTACGAAACGTCCGTAGGCAAACGCCACTGCAGGCAGCACGCCTGCAAGACCGAGAAGGTGTACGCGATCTCCCTGTCCTGCGGGGCCAAGTGTACATCGGGCAAAAGGGTCGGTGCCTACACGACCGGCTCCGAGATCATCATATGGACGCGAGGAATGTTGCTTCAGATTCCCGTTCGGGAAGGTCACCCTCGTCCAAGCGTCCCAACGAAAAGATCAACAAAGCCACGCCCAAAACGTAGGCGACCTTGAGCGCAATACCTTGCCCCAACATGGGCTGACGCGCCTGCTGGCTGCAGTGCCCAGGGCCGCGGATTAAGGAATTTCGGGACCCTGGGCCAAGGCAGATCATAAGGCCCCTAATGATGATGATAATACCGACTATGACGACGATGGTGGTGGTAGTAACGACAATGACGGCAATATGCATATTTCACCACCTTATGAAATACAAATATTGTTCATTTTATGGTACATCTTGGAAGGTTTTTGTATTGGTAGATTCGGTGGTAAGAAAATTCAGGTTTCACTGTGTGGAAATGAAGCAGATGCGATTGTGAGGCTGTTTAGGATATAGTCAATCGCCCACTAAGAGGTACAAAACGCAAAGCAATGAACGATCGGGGAAAACGCTAAGAAGTGTCGCGCAGATTGAGCAGCTCCATAGGTCCTCGTAAACTTCCGCTGAAAAGTTCAAAATGATGACTCCGCGTTGCTATGAACATGTTTGGCCAGGTCTGCAGCCTATATTTATACAGCGCGTGTCTCTGCCGGCTTGCGTAAATTCATCATGATGTTGAGGTAGAGAGATGGCAGAGATGACCGCCTTGATGTCGAGTGGCATGATTACTTGGGCACAAATTGCATGAGGCAGTAACCGAAACGATACCAGCAAAATTCCCATTACAAGAAAAAAAAAAAAAAAATCTGCCCCTCAAACTTGCCTTGCGAGTCGCATCTCGAAAACTGTCCCGAGAATATAGTGTTTTTTATTCTAGTAATTGCACCGATCGATTGGAATTTGTCTAACTAGCCCTTTTTTTCATTAATAACTGACTTGAACAGTATAAAGCAACACAGACAACAAAGTAATCTTGATGGTTAAAGTATTCAGGGCTCAAACCGCTTCGTCCACCCTTTTCTAAGAACTGAACTCGATCGTGTGCCAAACTAACCGATTTCTGCATTCAAATGCAGAAATCTGTTAGTCTGTTAGTTTCGCTAAGGCCTCGCTTGTAATGCCCGTCTAGGAACCTTGACAGCTAGTGACGGAGGTTGTCTCGCCTCCGGCCACGACGAGAGAAGAGGGGAAGGAGGAACTCCCCTCTTCCCGAGAATGCCTTTTGTGTGTCACAGAAGTCGCTATTGTCCCGCTACAAGAATGTAGAAGATTAACCCGTCACTTAAAATTCGTACAAAAGCAGCCGCTTCGGTGGCTGGAAGTCTGGAACGACTAGGCCATCCTCTCGACGTCAGCCTCGCCGTAGCTTTGCTCGTCCCGAGACGACCTACGTCACGATTGCGTTGGATGTCACGTGGTCTCCGCTGGGCCTTCTCCGAGCGCTTGCCAGAGTGGGCCGTTTATAACGAAAAATACAGCCACCAGGCTCAAAATACAAACGTTCGATTGTCATTTACGGATATTGTGGATCATATTCAACCTATTTTTGAACACGACGGGAATATTTCAAATTTCGTTGAAATATTCCTTTCTTGAGAGGGCTGAGGACGGTGCGATATAAGTTCTAGGGCTCCGTGTTTTCGGAGTTCATTTTTCGTCGAATTCGGAGGGTGTTTTTCGGAGCTTATTTTTTGCCGAAGATTCGGAGTTTATCGGAGTTTATATTTTTTGATTCCCAATCCTCCGAAATTCTGAGTTTAATTTCGATGTTTCCTATTGAAAATAAATAAATAAATAATAACCGAATGTAAACGTACGCCAGATGAAGAAAAAAAACGCGCTTGTATCAATTGAAATATCTTCAGTTGAATTTGGCATTGGTGCCATTGCCATTGGCAATACTAATTTATCCACGACAAAAGTCACACACAAGTGGCGCTTCGATAAACGCGAATACTTCAAAATCAATAAACTCCCGGAGGTAGTCGCTAGGAAGCTCGTAGGCATCCTATCCTATTCCATCAATCTAGCCCGTTGCCGCGCGAGGTGGAGTGATTAAAGAGGTAATAGAAAGTTTGAACTGCCCTTCTTCCCCAATGTTATACAATCCCTATGGTCCATAGCTTTCACTGTTACTAAAACGTACCCTTTTTTTTTTCCCTCTAAATCACAAATCGCATGGCCCAAACTGGGAACCAAAAGAGTGGCTTTTGTCGTGACCCGAATGTACAACGAACGACCTGTTGCCCTGAATCAACCTTGAAGAGACAAGCGGCAAGACCTCCTTTGAAAACGGTCCGAGATGTGAAAGATAATTATGGTGGAATTTTCCCAGGACCATTTAACTTATGGAACGTGTGATTAAGGTTAGTTAAGCACAACGTTTTGTTTTCATGAGGCTTAAGTCGTGCTTCTTTTGTTGACTATGCCTTCTATTATAAATCCATGAGAGGAACCAACCCGTTACCAGGACAGTTCTCAATAGGAAGTTTTCGTAGACCGCGTTTCTTCCCCTCCGCAACGAAGCCGCCGCTACGGCGCCTGCGCGTCGATGGCCTTGACTGTAGAGTTCCGGGTATCGTAGTGGGTTGCGGAGAGCGTTGCGGGACTGCCACTAATAGCTGTTACTCATATATATATACATATATATTAAAAACATAAATCACACGTTCCATAAGTTGAAAACAAAACCATTTCAAGATGCAGTAGTATGGTAGAAAATAAAGTAAAATACTGACTACAGTTTTCATTATTAGGAAATACAAAGGTTCCAGGTCTTTGTTAAAGTATTCCAATACTCATAAGAGTACAAATCTACTCTATCTGATAAAAATACACGCCATGATAGCATCTATACCATCCCTGCTCATACATACGCGCTTAATTAACCCTTACTAGAACAGGCACGACCGACTAAAAAAAATGTAAAGCTCCTACACTTCACGTGAAGGTGAAGGACCAGCGAATCTGTTATCTTTACGACATCTGGGGCATCTTCCAAACCTGCTCCAAAAGGCTGAAGAAGCTCGTGTCCACTTTATGCCCCACTCTGGCCTCGAACAGGTGCCGTAGGATATCAAGGACTACGTTCTTGTTATCCAGGTGTTGGTGTTAACCTCTCTCTCATCAGTGTCACGTGGTATATGCTGCGTGGCCCGTGGGCACATTCGGGCTGCATTCGGAATGTAATCCAAATGTTACATTCTTCTTGTTCTTGTGTTCTTGCACCCGATCCGAATTTCGGATCGGGTGCAAGAACATTCTCCTAATTGGTTACGCGCTCCACGCGCGCTCCCACCGGCAGGTCGACGACGTGGGGACGAGCGGTGCCGCGTGACCCGCGGACAAGTCGAGGTGTCCGTCGACGTGGTCCCCGAGCCCGTCCGGGCGTCGGCCGTCCCCCGGGAGGCGGCGTCCGCCCAGGTGGCCGTCAAGGTGACGGCCAAGGCGGCCAGTCCCAGGCCCGATGCCACGCGAGACGCCGGCTCTGCGTCGACCCGGTCGTCGTCGATGGGCGATCCTTCGTCGACGGCGCCTTCGTCGGCGTCCCGGAGGTCGGCCACCCAGCGCGACGCCTGGGGCGTCACGCGCGTCGGTGCTGCAGAATGGACCCCCTTCCACTCGGCGGTCATGTGAGTACCCTTGCCTGGCCCGACTCGAACTCATCTTGACGCTGTTGGCTCTTCGCCTGGTCATACCAAAAGTCTTCTATCTTTCCTTTTCGTTCTTTTTGCTTTCTTCGTGAGAAAAAAAAAAACACGCTGAAGACTGTTTACGTGTAGGAATGCGGAAGGCATTCCTACACGCCCCGCCGGCATTACGGCTTCCGTGACGAAGCATCTGCGTTGCTGTGCTTTTCTTTGTGTTTTATTTCTGAGGCGCGTCCGCTTTGACTTTGAGCGGCGCGTGCTTGATGACATTTTTATGGCCATCGTTTGGGCACAACGCCGACGCCTTTTCGCGTAATGGGACATATAAGGCTTTCGCCTTAAAAGGGACACGTGCGCTGTTATGCGAGAGGAACTGTTTCCCCGCAGTACACGCCAGCGCAACGTTTACCGCTCGGAGCGAAAACGCGGATGATTTTTATCCGCGTTTTCGCGTCGACAGCCTTCCGCCTGCTGCACGAGTGAAAACTTTAGCGCACCCCCCGCTTCACAAGTCTCCCTAAAATGTATTGATTAAGAAATTATCGATGACGCTCCGCAAGTTTCTAACTGGAACCCTATTTTCACTAATTAAGAAGTTAATTAGTAAATCCTGGGCAATTATTTTGCTGATTAGCGTTTTTTTTGCAATCCCCAACGTCCGTTATTGCTAGCAATTTGTTCCCGAAAAGTTTTTCTTTCTCAACCATGGGGATGTTTTTTAAGTATTGCAGAAACACCCAGTATTTGTGATTCGTTTTGTTGTTTCTCAACAAATTCAGTTGCAAATCATTTTAAAATTTCTAAAAGGGACAGAAAATTTCCCAGCTCATGCATTTATTAAAGACGCCATAATCTTCAGCTTCACAATGTTGACCTTCCGGAGCAATGTTTGCCATCTTTTACCCCTGAGGAAAAAAAAAAAAAAAAAAAGTCTGGCAATTGAGGGTGACGTGCGGACCCGAGTTTGCTCAGCCCTGTACAGTGTAATGAAATATATCACCAGAATAATGAAAAAAAAAAAAATCTTCAGCATAAGAAGAAAATTTATTTCGCTGATATTTCTTATCGCTACAGTATGAGAGTACAGGATGTGCAACAGCAACATTAGTAGCGCAGAAAACGACAAGAAATTATAAAAACAGCCGCATCGGAACACTTTCTGCTTTTGTAATCAACTCGAAATCACCATTTCCTTTGAGATGTTATGGAATCGAACCATTGCTTGCTATAACAGTTCCTTCAAGGGGCACTGACACACCAAAGGTCATATTTATTTTTTTATTGTCTAAAATGATGCAAGTTGTAGTCATGGACACGCAAAAAAATACTGCATCGCGAAAAATATTTTACCACGCAAGCGCCTTTTTTTTTTTTGGCACCCTTCTCTCCCGTTTCTCACCTCCTCGCTTCTGTTGATTTGTGACGTCAGAAATCATGAAATTTAGAAGCTTTGCTGGGTAGAAGAGCGTGTTGGTTTAAGTCATGGATGAAGAAAGAATAAAACAATTAAACAGTTACAACACAACCACATCTTTCAACTAGCACAGACGAGTAAACTTTCAACAGCGAGCAGCCGACTATACCCAGGAGGAGAAGGGGGGAGAAGGGAAGATAAGAAAACGCGAAGTGCAAGTCAGAGTGGTGGGCTTATCTCGGGTTTTAGAAATTCAACCTCAGTTTTCGTCAGCAGGAGGGAAGGGTTTGATACGTTGTTTTTTGCTGTGGTCATGGCGAATGATTCTATGATCTCCCTGCCGAATCTGCACCAATCACAGACTCCGCGAACATCACAAGGAAGTTTCGAAGGCCTCTCCAGATTCCTATCATCCATAGTAATACATGCCCGTTCGTGTTTGCGTTGTCATCCCCTCTTTGATGAAACAAAAATCCTGGGGGGGGGGTGGGGGGGGGGGGGGGGGGGGGGGGCATGACAGCAGATTCGGCAAGGAGATCATAGAATCATTTGCCATGACCACAGCAAAAAACAATGTGCCAAACCCTTCCCTCCTGCTGACGAAAACTGAGGTTGAATTTCTAAAATCCGAGATAAGCCCACCACTCTGACTTGCACTTCGCGTTTTCTTATCTTCCCTTCTCCCCCCTTCTCCTCCTGGGTATAGTCGGCTGCTCGCTGTTGAAAGTTTACTCGTCTGTCTGTTGCTAGTTGAAAGATGTGGTTGTGTTGTAACTGTTTTAATTGTTTCATTCTTTCTTCATCCATGATTAGAAGCTTTGTAGGCGACATTTTTATAACATTTAATAACGGCAATCGTAAAACATTTTTAACGCAACTGCAAACGCACAATGGCCCTTCTTTTGAAATACTAAAAATCGGGAGTCCGGTGTGATGTCGCCTTTTGGATTTGTATCCTCCCTCGAAAAACATGGCGGCGCTCGATTTACATAGCAGAGGATCATTGGTGATCAGGGAATCGGACGAAGTGGTCTATTTTAGGTGCCCAACGACCTCTCAGACTTGGAAACGGAAATGGTCAAAACGACTAGGTTTGGAGTCTGTGTATAGTAGTTTCGGTTGTGACACCGCCGGGGCAGCCTTTCAGACGTCGAGCGTCGTCTGCTCGCCGCGATAGGCAGGTGGCACGGCACACACGGAGGAAACCAAACCGGTTTTTTCCGGTAAGCTGGCGCCCTTCTTTTCGCTCTCACCTCCTTGCTTCGGGTCGCGGTGGCAACGGCTGGTTTGGAGCAGAGGCGTGAAAGAAAGTCAACTCGCAGGACTCTGCAAGGCTCTGGGGCAAAGCGCCGGCCTACGGATCCCCAGGTGGCGGGTTCGAATCCCAGGCGAAGTGCCCGCAATATGACGGAGGCATATTGCAGAGAAGGCGCCGTGTAATCGAGCTTTCGGTTGCACGTCAAGATCCCAGGGGTCCAAATTAATCCTGTCCTCCGCTGGGGCGTGCCAGATGAATTTCGTTGGTTTGGCACATAAAACCCCCACATCTGACTTTAGGACTCCGCAATATTTGACGTCACTGCACTGGAGGATTGCGCGGGAACTTCAAATTCGACATTTGGAAATTGCTGTTTTCTTCACAAATACTGAATTCCCAAGCTTCGAGTTTTGAGGGTAATGTCCGGGCATGGTTTTTAATCGTTTCGGATTATAAAAAAAAAATATGATTTTGATGTGTCAAGTGCTTAAGTGCAGAAGCACAAGAGAACTCCCATACTAATCTTGTTGTCTGCAAACAAACATTTTCGAATACTACTACAAATCAACATTTACGGCTTATTCTTGTCTCTTCTCAGTTCCGATTCTGAGAACACAACGGCTTCAGAGTTTGTCTCGGAACGAATCCAGACCCTGGTGCGAGCCTTCTCACACCGGTCACAAAAGGTCAAAGAGCGCATTGTAGAGCCGCCCACTCCAAGCCCCTGTGAGTACAAACCCCCGCACCCCCTCCTTTGAACACATATGACGCAACAAGGAATGAGACAATGCTCATCATAATGAATGGTTTAAAAAGTAGAGAGCAGCACTTTAATGGAACTTTTTCCAGTAAGCTTCTGTGCATACATACAACCTCTCCCCTGGCCTCGCTTCCCGCTGTTATATTATATATTTTGACGATTCTCTTTTGAGCATCGGTAGTATGGGGAATAAAAAGCAATGAAAACCGATGCAATCGGAAAATGCCAGTGTGCTCCTCTGCCCTTCATTTGTAGTTCGCAAACAAACTCCCAGACGGCGCTCGTTACTCGAAAAAGGCCCACACGCAAAAAGATTGCTTTAGTCGAGCAATTTAATCGCTTCCAAATGGACCTGATCAATTTAGGCCTTGCGGCACCTGCATGGTTACAACGAACCAGTTCAAACGCCCACCTACAACTGTGATAAGGAACGCTCCATCGGTCTGCACACTTTCCAGCCCCACCGCTGGAGAGGAGGCAGAACTACGAGAGTCGACTGCGTCTGGATTCCTTTGCCCTTGCGGAAGACAGGCCGTCTGGAGACCAAGCCGAGTCTGAGTCGCTGCTCAAGCTCGGCTGCTGCACCATCAAGAAGAGGAGGCTCTTTCCCAAGACCATCGACCCACAAAGTATGCAAAAAAAAAAAAACGGCAACTTTGTTTTTTTAATTATTTATCCGTAGGCAAATTTTCCATAGCTATATATTGAATGACGAATTACTGGTAAAAACCTTTTGGAATAAATTTTTGTTCTCTCCTTGAGACTTGGAGTTTCTATGCCACCCTGCAGGCAAGCTGTACATCTCGTGGCTCTTTGTGGTGAGCCTGTGCTTCCTGTACAACTGCTGGGCCATCTTCCTAAGGGCTGTCTTCTGGGAGGGCTCCTACGCTAGGGAGCTGGGATACCTGATATGTGACTACCTCTCTGACCTTGTCTATTTCCTCGACATCCTGCTTTTCAAGTCCAGGATCAAGTTCCACTCAAAGGGCATGTGGGTGGTAAGCCTTGCACACCCTACCAATAAGAACCGTTTCTACATTTTCCGCCACCGTGCCTCTGTTCTCGAGGCACACTTTGATAACCTGATTTCTCTAGAAAGTTTTAAAAATGAAAAAAATGGTGAAATGGTGACACGACAAGCAAACGTCCTGTCCTTGTCTCTGTCAACCCCCCCCCCCCCCCATCAAGGACTTCTCTTTACTCTTCATGAGTACCACATAAAGCAATATTAAAAAATAAAAGTCAAAACAAAAATTTTAGTACCAAATAAAAGATCTTTCTAAATGACAATGATGCAAAGGTCAGACCTCACACTTGTTTTGCCCGCAACTTTCAGGAGGATCCCAAGCTGACACGAAGAAACTACATCGGCAAGCTAATTTTCAAAGTAAGCGATATGTTAACGGCAATTACATACCCTATTTTCTATACTACATACTTTTCAATTTCTCCTGCGAGATAGGTCTATTAGCCTCCTCCTCTCCCAAACTGGGAGGGTAGCAAAGGGGGAGATTAAGAAACTATAAGAAAGGAATCTGCACACCCTTTGCACAGAGTGAAGGCTATGTCAAACCGGTGTTCATTGAACCTCTGTGAGGGAATATGAAAGGTGGGGACATGAGCACAAGTAAAAAGCCTTTGGAGTGCACATTTGGGTGCTGTCTTAATCACTTCGTGCTCATATAAAAAAAAAAGTTTAAATAGTTTCCGGAAGCAAAACTGTTACTTCCTATTGTTTTCTTTTTTTTTTTTAATCCTTCAAAATTTACTTTATTCAAAGTGTGCGAAATTTGTTTTGCTTCCCATCTTCCTGGTGTCGCTGGCTGTTACACTGCACTACGCAGGCTGCAGAATGGAAGGCCTTTGCAAGGCTGAACTGGGTGTTACCCGCTTCAAAGTGTTACTAGTGAAGCCAACTTGCTAATCAATTTGCCAAGTATTTGGAAATGTGGCAATCACTCATTAAAGACATGCCATTGGACAAGTGTGGCACAAAATAATGAGCTTCTCTCCATACAGATGGATGTTGCCTCCTTGCTGCCACTGGACTTCCTCTACTTTGTTTATGGCATCAATCCTCTGCTCAGAGTGCCACGAATGCTCAAGGTATGCACTCTATGCTATCTAGGAACATGAATGCATGGCTGTTGGTTCACAGCACTTCAGTGGCTGTGACACAGTATCTGCACAACTGGCACGTGGTGTGTGTCCATAAAATTTGTCCCTACATTGAAACCAAAACTACCTGTGCAGATACAAACATTCTGGGAGTTCTTCAACCGCATCGATGCTCTTGCTAAATCGCCCTACATTATCAGGTGAGCCAAACAAGAGCATTCGAGTACTTGCAGTTTCTATGCTATAGCCAAGGCCACTAGTATCCCGAGATCCCATTGAATGAAACTTGGGCTAATGAAGCGATATCATCCAAATAACATTATCCATAACTAGACTTCACATGCATTGGGAACTCATCATGTTCAAACTGCAACAAAAATATGAAATGCAAAAATTCAACTCAGCATGCAATACATGGGCAGGCATGATATTAAACAATCACTTTAAATGTATTCAAGTTCACAAAAGTACATTTATTTTCAATTTTGCATGCATAAAGAAAGCACCATTTATTAGACTTCTAACAGCCTGACCAGTAAGAATGTCTTCACCTACATAAGACTCGAAAATAATTAAATTACAGGGTGCTTCGAACACTGCTTTACATGATGTACCTGATCCACCTCAATGCATGCGCCTATTATGCCATCTCCAAGTATGAAGGGATTGGCTCAAATCCTTTCGTCTTCCAAGGAGGCAACAAGACCGCGTGAGTACAGCCTCCATTTCCACCATTCACTGACGAGCTCTTAGTTTCTGTCCTCACGTTTGGCAACCGAGCACAAAGAGTGAAAGAAACCTACTTGTGCCTTGCTCGGCAGATACGTGCGCTGCTTCTACTTTGCCTTCAAGACGGCCACTTCCATTGGCAAAAATGCCAAACCGAGCAACGAGCTGGAGTATGTGTACATGACTCTCTCCTGGCTGCTCGGCGTCTTCCTCTTTGCTTTCCTCATCGGTCAGGTAAAAGCACTTTGGCACAAGTCTCAGCAAAAAACACAGCCCACCCAACGTTACACAGTGGTCCAGTTTCCCCACTCCACTCAATTTTCTTCTTCCAAAAAATAAAGCGGCGTCAATCGTTCCGTGTTCTCAGGTACGAGACATTGTGGCAACAGCAACCCAGGGCAGGACCCAGTGCCGCCAGGCAGTCGACGCCTGCGTGCGCCACCTTCGGCGGCTGGGCCTTCCAGACGACCTTCAGCGTAGGGTCAGGCTGTGGTTGAACCACACCTGGGACCAGAAGAAGACCCTCGGTACGCCTTTACCCATCCTCTTCCGCTGCTCTCCATCGGCGAATAGCAACGAGTTGGGAGTTTCTGGTTTTCTTTTAAATGCACAAACCAACGCCAACAACCCGTTGTCGGTTGTGGACGTAAAAAAAGCACCCTCTCCAAAGTGCAGACTAGGACTCGAGCCAGGTTTCAGTCCTGTGTTAGTGCGAAGATTTGTTGCTCTCTCGTGTGTCGTGTACTATTCCTCCCTACTGATGGCAGTAACAACAACACTGTGGAATGAATGGCAACTCGTTTATCTTATCGCCACCAAATGCCATTGCGTGCCAGAGGGAATCTGCTCCCATCTTCAATCCGCGCTTGTCCAAAGCTTTTTCTGCTTCTTCCCTTTCAGACGAAAACTCCATCCTGGCCACTCTCCCTAGGAAAATGAAGACCGACATCGCCATTAGCGTGCACTACAACACACTGGCCAAGGTTCAATTTTTCCAGGTGAGTCAGACAGTTACCTATAAAGCGCCTTGTACTCATTTCCTTTGGACCAAATCGTCCCACATGAAAAGATTGAAACAGATTACCGAGTAACTCGGAAAGCCAACCAATTCTTCCAATTTAAATCTTTCAGGACTGCGAGCGGTCAATGTTGAGGGATCTGGTGCTCAAACTTCAGTCTGTGCTGTTTCTGCCCGGGGATTATATCTGCCACAAGGTAACTAGAGTTGTTGTGGGCGACATTGTAGAGTTTACAGAGTGAAGGACGCAAGTAGAGCCCTGCGTGGATACCAGTTTGATCATCCGCATCCAATCTGCATCTGCATTGTTCTTAAATTGTGTCCGCGTCTGCAAAATTCGGAACCGCATCTGACTCGCAATCTGCGCATTTATTTTACATCACGAAATCAAACGTGAATGAAAAAAAGTCGCCCCTTTACCATACTAGCGTGACAAAGGCGGCAGTTACACAGAATGTGATCTGTTAGTGTGGAGAAACTGTGTACACATGTGAAGACCTTGTGTCATGCAAGGTAAGTGTGTGAGCACTCCATGGATGTCTTACTTGTGGGCTCCATCTTCTGCTGCTGCAGTGTAAATGCGACTTTCTCAGAGCCTGGAACAATCAGAATGCGGCAGCGCCGAGCAGAGCCCTGGCACCAGCTCGAGGCAAAAGAGAACCAAACACTTGAAACTACCTCAAACCGTTACGGCAAATGAGTCTGCTTTCTTTTTCATGCTTTTCTGTCACTCTTTTCCTGGGGAAGCCCGAAGCGCGCTTGTTTCACGAAGCAGAGCTCAGCTGCATGCCTGAACACGCGACGTTTTACCCCTGCCGGGAGTTACACTGAGGCACTCAAGGAAGACGTTCGGCTGGCACTGGTGTGCAATCAGTGAGGAGACGAGCGCTGCGTCAGTGTTCGGCTGGCAGTCGGCCTGTCGACTTCCGTTGATGGCACCTAACCGGATATGGTTAGGTGCCTGCCATATAACACATTCTGTCTTCAAAACCATCTGGATGGTACCTTTAGAAGGGTGGTGAGCTGGGCTAGTTGGTAAGCATTATACATGGTTAAAGTCAGCAAACAACGTGAGGAAACTGTAGAATACAGGAGACAGGAAAGACGCTCAACTCACAACTCAATATTTCATACAGAAGAGAAGCAGAAAGAAAATGACATATAACCAATAGGCACATGCTCATGGGACGAGAATTTTAGGGCACGGGGCAACGGTTTGAGTGCATCGAAGCGTTAAAAAACTAACTTCCTTTTCAGATAGAGTAACAGAAGGGTGGCTCACGCAGTGCTCCCCCAGACCTTGTATAATATATGCCTCGTAAATTTCTCTGAGGAGTTTTTCCTTATGTCGTCCTCCGATAGCCGTGCTGGCCAGATCAGGAGTACATGTTTAGGATTGACAGTGCAGAGGCAGGTGTCCCCCCTTTGTCAACCTCATAGACAGGTTATGTTCATGTAGCCTATCATTAATACATTTTCCTGTCTGTCCCACATTGGCATTCTCTACCTGGGAATCTTTCAGAAGCAACCAAAATATTGATTATCCAGAGCCTAGGCCACAATAAGCCTCAATGAAATTTCAGGCTCTTTGCCACAATTTCAACTCACCAAATGGGGAATCGTAGGCCAGCACTTCGCAATGGAACCACCAAGGTGGCCATTCTAAGGGGTTTAGATCGATTATTTGGATTGTGTGATGCATGTTTCCTTTCTGGTTTAGAAGTACCAAAATGATGAAAGCACTATTTTACTTTATTCTACACAGGGGGAAATAGGAGTGGAGATGTACATTGTCAACAAGGGAGTCATCAATGTCATGGGTGGCGAGAACAACAATGTTGTGCTTGCCACACTCACCGAAGGCAGCGTGTTTGGAGAAGTCAGGTGAGCAATACTTTGGCGGATTGATTGGACTGACATTTTCCTCTTGTTTACGGTGCGAAGGCAGATGCAGTTTCCCTCTAGCCAAGTGCTCACCAAGTCTCGAACGGAATGCAGATTAGAGGTACTTGCTTTAAAATCGGGCCCAGCACGCAAATAACAAATTCTAGTTTAAGAGCAACAAGACAAACAGCCCAAACACCTGCACTGAATAATGCCTGGTTTCCGCAGGCTTCACAAATTACCTTGCGTGAGAAAGGCTAGAATGATTGTGTCAGGTTACACAACAATAGTATGGTTTTAAAATATATATATATATTTTTTTTTTCTATTGTGTGCATTGCAAATGGAACCTCAGCCTCCTGGGCCTCCCGGGGTTCAATCGGCGTACGGCAGATGTCCTCTCTGTGGGCTTCTCCAACCTCTTTGTCCTAAGCAAGGACGACCTCAACGACGTGCTTCACTACTACCCCGACGTGGAAGCCATGCTCCGGCGCAAGGCCAAGTGAGCGCTTGCAGTTTCTGGCTTGGGCAGACGTCCCGTGTGGAATGCATAAACGTCCAATTCGCAAATGTCCATATAATACAGCGTGCTCAGAGTCATTGTTCCGGGCAACCTTTGTTACCAGAAATCTCCTGACCCAATGAACATTCGTCTTAGGAGCCAGATGCGCAAGAACCAAGCCTCCAACGAGAAGACACTCGAGCGCAAGGGGAGACGGCTCAGGGTCGAGCCAATCATCAAGACACCCCAGAAAAGGCCCAAAACTCCCAAGCTCGTGCAGACCGTCATGCAGGTACGACAGAAAAGGACTCTCACATCTGGAGGACCCAGTTATACATTTGCCCCGCTCGCTCTTCCCAAACACTTATCGAGCACATTACAAAATATCACATAGACCGCACAAAGCAACATACGAGGAGCAAATATTTACCTATGAGGAAAGGTTGAAACTTATTGCAAATATGTAACATTGGATGAAAATGGGAGTTGAGTACATTTCCCACTGTTGTCAGATACAGGAGTGCACCGGGATGAGTGCGTATTTCCAGAACGCACTCATTGCCTTTTGTTGCGCACTGGCTGGATATGCCCACGAGACCCCAAAGTGTTAGTGAAGCTAGAAGGCTCGTGTTGGAGGCAGAGCTTCTGGTACATTTTTAACATGTATCCAGTGGTGCGAGTACAGGGGTGAGGCCATTGCCCCCCACACATTTCTATGTAAATATTCGAGGAAGGGGAGGAAATCTCTCCCTCTCTCCTCCCTCCTCCCTCCCTCCCTCCCTCCCCTCCCCCTCCCCCCCCCCCCCCCCCCCCCCCCCCCCACTCCCACTGCTGTAGCCCCCACCCCCCTTTAAGAGACTTTAGCCTCTGCATGTGTGACTACAGTAACAAAGGATGGTGAAAATTCATCGATGATGGTAACAAAAGCAACTAAAAATCCAGGAAGAGCAGAAGTAAGGAGGTACCCTCTTACGACGCAGTCTCATGTGTAAAGCTTGAAGCAAGTTGAGAATGTCAGAAACAACTACCTCGATGATGACGCTCTTGTGCAGGTCCTCCGACCAGAATCCAAGACTTCGGTTTTCTCGAGACATGTGACCGAGGTGCAGCGTGCAGCAGAACGGCCGGCCAGCAGCACGTCGAACTCGACCAGTTCCTCCACGGAGAACCTCGGAAAGCCAACGGCATTCACGTACCATGACGACGACGGGGTGGAGCAACAGGTGCAGACGTACCACGACATCACCCAGAACATACTCACCCTGAGGGCCACCTCGGCCACTATTCAAAGATCCCGGGGCGACAAGACCCCCACAGTGGCCAGGTGCAAGAGTTCGCCGGCCATGGTGTCAGCACTCAGGGGCACAGGTATGTGGCGATGTGTCTGGCCCGACTTTTGTTCACTCGTACATGTGAGTGCAAGGAAGGAAAGCTTTCCAATCCGATAGGTAAATGAGCAATATTGTGATTAACTTGTATAACCACAGGATAGAATTGTGCCCTGCTTGCCTATCATTTGGTTAACGGTTTTATTAAGAAACAAACATACTCGGTGCCCTTTTCAAACAGTACAGATAATGAAATGTTGTCCAGACGACTTTGGGAGAGCATGAAAGGCGGTTACAATAAACTGTATCCTATCCAGATTGGCTACTCTACCGGCTTTAATGGCAATACGTGTTGGTTTACATAAACCAAGTGAAATGCTCTGCAAGGGGAGGCCTTAATTGTATGCCAACAGCTCCAAGGCCTTATCTGTTGCTAATAAATTAGTGTGGCACACACTCTGGATGTGTGCTCGGCTGATGACTACAGACTAAAGCTCAAAAGCATCACAGACAAAGTGGTCGCTTAAGTGTTGGCCAGGGCCCCAATCTGGTGTTTGCAGTTTTTCCCTCACATCCAGGCTGTTCCAAGCACCGACACAGTTTTCTTTGCTTCTTCTCACTAGTAATCTGCAACCTGGATGACCTGAAGGCCATGTCAGTCTCCCACAAGCGAAGCCACACTCCCTTCGCATCCCTGACACGCTGCTTCGGCAGCGATGACAACGCAAGCCCCGAGTCGCCACGCCGTCAACGGTGGCGCAAATTTTCGGCCCGCAACCGCATTACACCTGTAGAAGTCCCCATCCCCAGGCCGGACGAGGCTGTTGCCCCTTCTCAGAACCCGACCAACATCAAGGAGACCGAAGGCGCTTCCAAAGAATCTGCAGAAAACACCAGGGAGCCTGCTCCCAGTGCTGAAGACGGCTGCATCTCGGAGCCAACCGAGAACCCGACTACGGCACAAAGTAACGAAAACCCAGAGCAGAGCAATCAACCGCAAGTCATGGCGATACCGGAAGTGGAAGACAGCGATTCTCTCAAGTCTACGTGGCTTCCCTGCATCGAAGATGACGACGATTCAGAAAGGGACAACCTTGAGTTTGTGTCGCCCCACTTTCTGTCCAGCTCTTCGCCGAGCTGGAACTTTGATGAACCACCATGCTGATTTTTTTTTTTTTTTTTGCGGCGAACATATGGGATACTTTCTGCATTCAAAGGCAAGGGCAATGTATAAACGTCGCTAATATGTGCCAAAGTATAAGGAACCCCTGAGCCATTGCCTAGATGAGCAGCATTTACTGTGCTCATTTTCTAAAACGATTACTTGTTGCCAGGAATCTCCATAAGATACACCACGAGGTTCCCGTGGCAAGTATAAAAAGGTTTTCAGAAAGCAGTAAACACTCATTTCTGTCACCCTTTTCTCATTGCACAAGCACTAAGCATCTGACCCTAAAAACTGTAATACCACTTTTAATACCTCTTAGCTGATTCAATGCACATTTTTTCACAATATATTGCAAGTAAATGATTGCCAACTATAGAAATAATGAAAGCTGCAAATGCTATTGAACACATGGAGTAACAAAAGCTTTAGTGGCTGGTAAAATTTCCCCCATTTGCTTTTGCCTAGAGGAAGGCTTCTTTTAGCTTTGGACCAAGTCAAACAAGTCATCTTTGCTAATAATGAGGGCTGGCATTCAGCTAGCTGGTGTACATGGCACACACTAGTGAGTAGTGTAAGTAATAATAACAGAACAATAGCAGACCCCAGAATGCACTAGCAACTTTCTGCAAACGCTTCTCCTGTCAATACACAGCCAAACGTTTGCAATACTTCTAGTCTGCAACATGCCTACACCGGAAAAACTTGTCAAATAAATTTTGTACTATTTGTATACCAACACGACTGGTTTGTACCTCCTGCTTTACACTCACATGCATTATAGCAGCAACACTGCATTCCCAGTCATAGAAAACAAGCAAATCGAAATTTGGAGAGCAATTTGGAAACTTAATTGCGAGTGATAATTAAGAAACAGCTAGAACAAGTGGTTTATGAGAACAGTACACATTGCCATTTTTTAGGAAATTTTTATGTTAACAGTACGCACTGCATTTCACAGTAATGCTCCCAAATGAGACTGCCAAATATAGTACTACTAAACAAAAAAACTGCCAAATTCTACTGACTTGGCATGCAACCGCTAAGAAATCCACCGCCGTGGCAAATAAAGAATGCTACAAAATGAAGACTGTAGGCGTATATTTTTTTCTGCAACATCTTTTTATCACGAAAACGTTGCTCCACACTATAAGATGCTATAGATACGGCTGTACTTTACTGCCATAATATGCTTACAATATTGGTGATGTTGATGAAGCAGCTAGCAACCTCCAGTACAGCAAATTAGGACGAGGGCAATCACGTCATTTTCAGAAATGCTCAAAGCCTAGGTACCTTGGAGCTGTAAACACATCGGACGATCAACAAAACAAAGCTCTCCATGAACTGAAATAGGGCTAAACGAACCCAGCACCTAGCCTGACGGAAATGCTGTAGGAGGTGAGGGCTTCTCGAAAATGATGTCGTGAGATACTTGTGTGTCGTCGCTGTCAATGCCATCTGGAACATCCCCATCCGTTGCAGTGTGCTTTCTTGGGAGCCCAGTGAAGTTCTATGGAACGGAAAAGGCATAATGGGAGAGTGCATTCCAAGACACGTTGCACGAACACATCATTTTGTGACATTTCTTCAAAAATCTTAAAAAGGCCCAAGGAACCCTCGATTTTGGGACATTCTGCTGCGATGTAACTGCTGTGCAGGCAGTATTGTTATTTCGTGAGCTCCACATCTGGTCTGCTTATAGAGCAGTGGTCTCAAACCCATCTTGGGAAGTGGGCCGCATACACGAAATTCATACATTACTGCGCAAAAGTAATGTATGAAGTACACCTGCTGATGGAAGTGCTGAAGAAGACTGTAATTGTTCATACACCACTTTGCGAGTGTAAAATGAGGCTACCCAGAGCTAGTTTGTACAAAGCCCCTCCTGAGTCGCTAAACTCGTCAAACACAAAGTTGGGGCCAAAGTTTGCAGAGCATGCTGATTGGATTCTCGCAAGGATGGCGTCACGCAGGATGAGATGTCAATCATCCAAACCCCCTCGGTGCTCAAATTCCAGCGAGATTGTGAAACACAAAGTCGTAGCGATCTTCATCGAAGCGGGCGCGAGCCCGCTTTGATGAAGCTGTGGGGCCAGCCGTTTATGCGGCTGAATGATGAAGTCGCACCCGCTTGTCCCTATATCCCTACACCGCGTTAGAGTCTAGGCTGTCTAGATTGTCCCCAGGTGAACTGTGAATATTCTGAACTTTCTCGTCGCAAGACCGTCGTTTCTGGAAGTTATTGGCGACGACAAAGTGACATTTCACAACTTTGGGAAAGAGTAATTTGAGGCCAATATCTTCGATTCGGAATAGAGGCGACGACTGAACTTTGTGATAATTGGAGCCGTGCACGGTGTACGTGACGTGGCTTTAGAGCTCATCTTTCGCCAATGTCAACAATGCTACCAGGGTCACTCAGAAGTGGTGTGTGTAATGATGTCGGTAATGTTTGAGATACGAGGGGGCGACGGAGTTGACGAGAAGAAACTGGGAAAAGGAAAAAATTCACAGGGTCTCTTAGGTTATCTCTAAGACGATTTGAAGGTGAAAGCCGAGGCACCGATGTAAACGTGATAGCGAACCTCCAAAGACAGCGCGCTCCCCGACGGCGCACTTCTGGCGCCGTTTCATTAGTACCTTTCACGTCGCTGACATGCTTTCACTCAAGGACTTTGGAGGCCTACTGAATGATAAGACATAAGGCTTTTGCCTTAATAAAAAAATGGGTACGACCAACAAAAAACAAAAAATGAAAGCCGTTTACAACTCCCTGTAACGCCGAATTAGAGCGCAGCTCTTAAGAGGAGGATGGAAGGGTACTGAGGGGAGGGTATACCCTGCCTCCCTCCTCCTCACCTCGTCATCCTGCCTGCTACACCTGCTCCTTTCCCCCCTCCTCTTCCTCCCCTCCTCCTTCTTCACCCCCCATGGCCCCCGGTGAGGTAACGTGACCCCCCGAGGTCACGTGACCTCAGAGGGGGGGGGGTCACGTGACCTCAGGGGGTTCACATGGTCACGTGACCTCAAAGGGGTCACATGACCTCACGGTTACGCCGACGCCACTCAAGCCGGAAACGGGTGCCTGAGCTGCACTCTAAAAAATATGGGGGTCAGGAAGTGCTGTACAAAATGTTTTGGAGAGAGAGAGGGAGGAGGATGGTAATAAAGAAGGGGGATATCTTTTCACCCGGACTTGTTATTATACCTTTCTGAAATGTCTGGTCACTATACAAGAGTCTATGGTCTCGGGTGATTGCCTCCGCCCCCTACACATTCATGCCCCTTGCCCCCTCTTTCAATGTCACCAGGGTGAATGAATAGCCCCCCCTCCCAGTCCCCGTTTCGACGCCCCTGCTTAGATGCATTACAACTGAGCAACGACGAGGAACAGCAGAGCTTGCGATTTTCGAAATAATGGCTCTAGAGGTTTTAGAGTTAAAACGATTCATGTCCCATGAACTCACGAGTGGCCATGACAGACTTTCAAGTGAGAGGTTCGTGCTAGGGCTCATTGTTTGAGGGCGACATCCTTTTATAGGAAGTAATATTTACTGGCGGCCATAGCTGTGTGCGTGACTGCTGCACGCATACATATGGCCAGCTTGAACAGTTCTTTTGCAACTTCGATGGTGTTGATTTTAGAATGCCATTACCTCAAGCCTCCGCCGTGCTTTCTAGAGACCACTAAACATGTTGGTCGCAGCTGATAATCTTTGTCGTGATGTCACACGTATGAACCACGGTCGTCTCCGCACGCTTTCTCGTGCTGCTCTTGTTCGTCGCCTAGGGAGTGATAGGGATTTTTTGCCACTTCAATAAAAACGTCACGAAGATAAACGGATTATCAGGTTTGTGAGAAAAGTAAACTTTGCGGCATTTTTTTGGCCACCCCCGCTACGTTATAACGCAAAGAATCTTTGTGTTTGACGAGTTTAGCGACCCTGCATGACAGCTATAATTTAGTTATAAGTAGGCTTCCAGATATCACAAAAACGGAGCACAAATTGGTGATATAGTGCCATGGCGCTGGCTACTACGAATATAATTATATGTCAGCCTGGACTAAATACTATGTTGCCAGGTATGCTCAGTGACAGTGAGCTGATAGGTAGTGGGCAAACAAAACATAACTTCTGCAATGAAACTCGGAAGCTTACCATCTTTCGTGCACGATCGCAGCACACGTTGAAAGCGAATTCACTCATCTGAAATTGAGCAAAGGCCACATTCACAAACATATTCCAGCCCAAACTAACCAAAAAGATTCCCGAGTGGAGCTACTTTTTAATAAATGTTTTCTTACAGTGAACTCGTTCGGGATTGCCAGGCCCTGGAACCGGTACATGACCCCCAAAGAAGTTTCGATCGGGTGTACCTAAGAAATTGGAACCCGTCAATCAGCAAACGACACTAAACCAACCGATGCCAGGACACTTTCTGACCAAAGACAGGAGTAAAAGCTGGCTTAGAATGCATCAGAGAAATGCCTACTCACTGCAACCACCTTGAAACGCCAAATCTGGTCCAATGACCCTATCATAGGTCCACTACTAATGTCCACGTGGTCGAGCAACCGGTAGAGCGTCACGGAGTTACCAGTGGCTGACATGGATGCGATCCGTGGTATCTGCTCCACTTTGTACCTGAAATGAAAATGCCCAGCAGACTGAGTACCTCAAGCACATTAACCGTACGACAGCTGCACGCAATCAACAGGCAATATCGCTGCACGTCTCCTCTTTTAAAGGGGACAGCAAAGCAGTTTTTTTAGCTACCCAAATTACTAAACACATGTTCGGAATATGTAAGCTTTACTCCTCCCGGCATGCTCTTTATTATCTCTAAATTCAAAATAGCCATTGAGAAACCGTGTAAATGTCACTGAACTACTGGCCACACCACCATGGGGACAACAATTTTCTGCTCAAAAAAACACCAGTATATTATTTAAAACAAATGTTGTTACGTCAAGCCACCCATAAAAGCAGCTCCGCTCCGCGGAAGTATGGCGGCAGGCTGTGTGCGTGCGAGCCCTGTGGAACTTGGCGGAACCCAGCCAAACTGGATTTTCATCCTCTCCCACTCCTACTCAACTACTGCAGTGGACGGGCATTCTGGATGGCCAAGTCACGCGTCAATGTCCCCAAGTGGCGAAGCTCACAACCACACCAGCTTCTTCGCAGCTTTGCCCATGAAGGTAAACATGACGTCACGAACGTGCTGGGGGAACCGGATTTCCAGAGACACATCGCAGTCCCCGACAGCTGCTCTTTGAACGCTCGCTAGAATCGGCCGCTTGGAAAAAAAAATGTAGCCATCTATTTAAAATACAAACGTGAGATTGTCATTAGCCGATTTTGTGGATCATGTTTAGCTCATTTCTGAACGTGAGAGATATATTTCAATTTTTCATTTCAGTATCCCTTTAACGCAGTTTTAATTATTCTTCTCAATAGTGACACAAAATGATGCCTCATTTTTATTCCACTTGCATGTCCGGAAATTGAAGCAGGACTCAGGATGCCTAATTTGGCTCAATTCACTACAAAATACTATCAACCCTATGTGCATGAATATTCTCTGAATTCGCCACAAATATTAAACTATTTCAGGCTCCAATTCTGTGTCAAATACAATGAATACCACAACATTTTCCTCACTCATGATGATTTGGTTTTTAATGCAAAAGCATTAACTTTCTCATAGAGCGAACCAGCGTTATCAGCTTTTGAAACCGTGCCAAACGGCACCTAACTCCCCTGTCCGATAGAGTGAAGCCTGTAGTCCGTAGCAGTGAATTGATGGATAACTTGCCATTGGCTGGTGCGCATCATAGTTTCAAGGAACGCCACCCTATGGCGCTGCGGCCCAGCGCCAGTGGAAGGAACACGATTAACACGGTGGCGCGCACTCGCCAGAGGCCCCGAGGGCCGAGGGGAGGGAGAGAGCGGGTGCTCTTCTCGGCGCCGACGAACATGGTGGTGCCTCAATATCATATCGCAAAACTCGAAAGAGCACTCAGCGGCGTTCGATTCGACATTCATGCTTTCGCATTCACAACTAATAAGATGTGCTTTGGTGTCCTCCAAATTTTTTGGCCGCCGCCCCCCCCCCCCTCCCCCCCCCACTTCAAGCAAGATAATACAACTGAACTATACTTTTAGCTGCATTCATGGCTAAATTTAAAGTGTAAATTCCTGAACCACAAGAAATAAAAGGAACACACTTGTTGTCCTCAAATATCTTGAGCGCCAGGGATGCGTCAACTTCCAGTCTCTCGAAACGGTGACCTCCTGCCGTCAGTCTTCTCCCCATCCCAGACAGCACGTGAAGTTCGTCCTGGAACAATGAACAATGCAGCGAAACGTATTACCCCGCAAACTTTTCTCGGAAACAATTACGCTGTGGCCTACCTTAACCCCTTGCCTACTGAGGACGGGTGTCACTCGTGCCACCCCAGACGAAGCATAAAGTCCGACCAAGAGTGTGACTCGCATTTCGGTTTTGGGGCTTGTTTAGCGCGCTTTTTGACAGATGGAAAAACCACCCCTGTTACTCTATGTACAGTGCGCAACACTGTTAGCGCGAACAAGCGATCGCCGGTTTTTCCAGTTTTTCTCTTTGAAACCAAGGGATGTCATCCAAGTCTTTATTGCTACGGAAAGAGCTAATTTAGTTCTATAATGTAAGCGATAACATTTCGTGCTCGCTATTACTATTAAGAAGTAAAATGCGAAAATGCACCGATGTTGTGTTCGCGCTAACAGTGTCGCAATGTGTACCTTGTGTAGTTTGCTCATTTGTTTTGCTGTTTGACGGAGAGAGAAAGCTTTATTTAGCCAAGAAAAAGAAAAGCAGTTGCTTGCAAGCGTTCACGCTAAAACAACATGGCTTTGGCACGGAGGTTCGCTTTAGCCGACAGATATATGAAACCTTCTTTTGAAATGGATTAATGCTCCGGAATGTGTAACGATGAATACTTCAGCCTCGCCCATTTTTTCAGAATCAGACGATGGTTTGATGGGCAGTGACAGGAGTGATGAAAACTATGTTGAATCCTGCAAGCATTTCATCAACTTCGGCATCTCTACGTCAGTGGGACTCAGACCAGAAGTCCTGATTTAGAGAAGATATGACACCTGGAAGTCGAGGAAACGTTTTTGTCTTATTTTAATGAAAATTGCCTGTCTAAAATAAAATTTTGCTGTACATTCCTTGAAGAAAAAAATCAATAGGCAAGGGGTTAACAAGAGCAGCTGGCAAATGCTAGAAAAGCAAGCTGAAAAAGGACCCTGCACCACCTAAGAGCATGGAAACCGAAAGGAGCTTTCAAAGTCATGCACTTGTACTCCCAGCACCTTTCGCACATTGACATCAAGGTGGAACTAAACAATCTTTCGATTCCACGTACCTCCCGGGGTTGCCAGTTCTCAATGTTGAGGTCTATGTTATACACAAAGCTCCCGGAGCGAACTGCAAGGCAAATAGGCGATGAAAACAAAAGAAATCTGCAGTTGGCAACATCCCACTGCACACCACCCAAGGACCTCACCTTGAGGCTGAGGCCAACTGTGCAGCTGCACATAGAAGTTGTCCTTGAAAGCATGCTCTACAATATAGCCCAAGAGGAAGCTGCCTGTCCTCCAAAAGGCCTGTAACACATTACATGCATTATTCAACAAAATGTTGCACAACCTTTAATCTAGCATCACAACACCACCACGACATGGCCGGTATCAGCTTTTCCAATCCAAGTTTGCCCAATGGAACTAGTACACTATATGTAATACATACTATAGATAGACCCTATATATAGACTGTCATTTGAAGGGTAAATCAAACAAAACTGCCCAGAGATTTCACTTATAAGTAAGTCACTCAACATTTTCTCGGTTTGTTTCCCAGAGGGTGCAAAAGCCTTGTCAGGTACCTATACCTTTCGCTTCAGATCCCTCTACAAAAAAAAATAATCTGGAGAAAAACACACAAAATAAGTATATTGTAATTAATAACTAGGAAGTTCTACATAGATATCACTTCCAAGCTTCGTAGAGTTTGAGCATCACGTTTAAACTATAGTCAAATAATTACAAAGTTCACTAACGATTTTGTTTTGCAGCCTTTCATGCAAGACCAGGTCGGTAATCTAAGGCACAAGTGAATAGAAATATGTAGTAATCAGCAGCCTGCCTTGTTGACGAAGTAGGGATATCTGTCCCTGTAGAACTGGAAAGTGAGTTCACAGTCCTGGGTCAGGGGTCGACACATGTCCCAGGAACGTCCATCAACTTCTGCAATGACTGCTCTTTGCACAAGGCTTTCGTGGATGTCTGTGGCGGCATGCAAGGGGCAAAGTTAGAAAAACGTGCCACTCCCACGCTGATGTCTATGCACGGCGGTCAATGCTGGAGACGTAGGTTACACACACATGTGCCCTAAGCTCTGCTCGATAGCATGCAGAAGGTTGCCAGAACTATACAGGTGGCAATGGGCCCTATAGAACAAGTTCAACGGGTGAAATCAATACTTGAAATGCTGCCGGCATAGAAAAGACATCACGCAAAATGATCGCAGCGCCAAGGAGCAAGCCGGGATGTTAGTTCCGCACGCAGAACGTGCTGACTTCTTTGCTGTACAGTGCACAGACAGTTGACATGCCTGCTCCTTGGTGTCCAATCGTTTTGCATACTCGTTAGAAGCACATTACTTGAACGTTACGTGCAAACCAGCCTGCAGCCTTTACTTACGTCTGGCACAGTCGTGAGGCGTCGACAGGTTCTTATTCATCACGAGGGTGCATTGTTCCAGCGGCCCGGTATATTTCACTTCAATCTTTTCCACCCTAGTGATCAAGGCAGACTGGCGCTCCTTCTCCTTGCTGAAGAGTTGGGTACGCTTTTTCCTCACCTCTTCGTTTGTGAGCTTGCTTTGGCCGGCAACCACGTACGAACAAACTTTGAGGAAAGAAAAACAAAACAATAATCCGCGCTTAGTAGCACGAACGTTGATCGCTACATAATCGAACAAACCAGCAAATTATTTTTAGTTCTCGAGGTCAAGCCCAAGATGATTCCAACCGAACTAAGCACGTGTTTTCGGCAGCACGGCCTGGGCTGAAATTTTGTAAATGTGGTGAAAGTTAGCTTATCTCCTTTCTTGACCATCATATCGATACAAATGAGGGTCATTTTTGAGCTCAAACACGTGCGGCGTATCAGCTAGGAAACAAGCTAGAGACCAGTACAATCCTTAAAAAGGCTACTCACAGTTCCTCTGTCGTCCACATGCCCTTCTGAGTGCCAATAAAACGTGCCTAGATCTATTTAAAGACATTCTTGCAGTGAGGGAGTGTGCCTTCAACAATCAACAAACGCCATGCCCGATGCCCGACGACCATGCCGAGATTGATGCCGCTGCTGATCGCGCTTCTGGGCACTCGCAGTGCTCGCAGGTCTCAGGGACACTCTAATTTCGCAATTTTAAAGGGATACTTCAACGAAATTTGAAATATTCCCGTCGTGTTCAAAAATAGATTGAATATGATCCACAATATCCGTAAATGACAATCGCACGTTTGTATTTTGATCCTGGTGGCTGTATTTTTCGTTATGAACGGCCCACTCTGGCAAGCGCTCGGAGAAGGCCCAGCTTAGAGCACGTGACATCCAAAGCAATCGTGACGTAGGTAGTCTCAAGACGAGCAAAGCTACGGCGAGGCTGACGTCGAGAGGATGGCCTAGTCGTTCCAGCCACCGAAGCGGCTGCTTTTGTACGAATTTTGAGTGACGGGTTAATCTTCTATAATCTTCTAGGGGGACAATAGCGACTTCTGCGACACACAAAAGGGATTCTCGGGACGAGGGGAGTTCCTCCTTCCCCCCTTCTCTCGTCGTGGCCGGAAACGAGACAACCTCCGTCACTAGCTGTCAAGGTTTCTAGACGAGCATTACAAACGAGGCGTTAGCGACATCCACCAGGTGCTCTTTGCTAATCGTTTAATTCGTTTTAAAATTCCTTTTCGAGACTTTTTTAACAAGATATTGGTATGTTCCATGTGATACTGCTCTTTTGAACACATATAGACCAAAAAATGAGCGTTGAAATTTCGTTGTAGTATCCCTTATTGGTATGTTCCATGTGATACTGCTCTTTTGAACACATATAGACCAAAAAATGAGCGCCGAAATTTCGTTGTAGTATCCCTTATTGGTATGTTCCATGTGACACTGCTCTTTTGAACACATATAGACCAAAAAATGAGCGCCGAAATTTCGTTGTAGTATCCGCTCATTTTTTGGTCTATATGTGTTCAAAAGAGCAGTATCACATGGAACATACCAATAAGGGATACTACAACGAAATTTCGGCACTCATTTTTTGGTCTATATGTGTTCAAAAGAGCAGTATCACATGGAACATACCAATATCTTGTTAAAAAAGTCTCAAAAAGGAATTTTAAAACGAATTAAACGATTAGCGAAGAGCACCTGGTGGATGTCGCTGACGCCTCATTTGTAATGCTCGTCTAGGAACCTTGACAGCTAGTGACGGAAGTTGTCTCGTCTCCGGCCACGACGAGAGAAGGGGGGAAGGAGGAACTCCCCTCTTCCCGAGAATCCCTTTTGTGTGTCGTAGAAGTCGCTACTGTCCCCCTAGAAGATTAACCCGTCACTCAAAATTCGTACAAAAGCAGCCGCTTCGGTGGCTGGAACGACCAGGCCATCCTCTCGACGTCAGCCTCGCCGTAGCTTTGCTCGTCTTGAGACTACCTACGTCACGATTGCGTTGGATGTCACGTGCTCTAAGTTGGGCCTTCTCCGAGCGCTTGCCAGAGTGGGCCGTTTATAACAAAAAATACAGCCACCAGGCTCAAAATACAAACGTGCGATTGTCATTTACAGATATTGTGGATCATATTCAACCTATTTTTGAACACGACGGGAATATTTCAAATTTCGTTGAAGTATCCCTTTAAGACCTTACCAGGTTATATGGGTCCCGGTGTGTCTTTTCAATTTTAATTTTTTAAATTTTTTAGACAAGCTCAATAGTCGAAATTAAGAACTATCAAAACTGAAACTGGGCGAATGCTAAACTGACTAATGTTTCACAACTCATTTGCATATATTCCTTTATAAAATTGAAGCAAAAGATATCACATCTTGTACGGTACAGAGGAACTCATATTAGCACTTTTACGAGGTATCAATCTGGGGTAGTGCTCAATTTTCTTTTCTTTTCTTTTTTTTTTTTGTAGGGGTTTTAAGGGGTTTGTAGCGTAGAATCGAGGTTTGTGGCCGTTTTAGCCCCTACACTTACACGCAGAGGTCGGCATTTTAGGTCGCCCTCACTCAACCTCACAGCTACACACTCACCTTCAGCCCCTCACTCACCTCCATCCTCAGTCACACTCATCTTCAGCCCTTCACTCATCCTCCCGGACCTCACACACTCATGGCCCTCACCACCCTCGTGGCCCTCACCGTCCTCACGCCCCTACCGCCCAAAAAGCCCTCATGCACTCGTGGCCCTCACGCCCCTCACATACTCATGGCCCTCACGCGCTCATGGTCCTCACGCACTCATGGTTCTCACGCCCCTCACACTCATAAATATTCCTGGCTCAGAAACTCGCTCAACCTCACCTCACCTCACCTCACCTGTGAAGATGAGGGCGAGTGAGGGCCCTCATGAGTGAGATTTGCCAAGGCGCTAAGTGCTTAGCACCTCGGCATGCTAAGTGCTTAGCACTTAGCATGCCTTCGCACTTAGCACTAGGGATGTCGTGAACCTGTCGAGTTCGAGCTCAACCAGGTTCGACTTTTTGGAACTACTTGTGAAAAGTTCGACAAAGGTTAGACTCAGGTTAGACTGCTATGTGCATGCGCAACAGGCTAGCCAATTGGTTTCGGATTGGAAGATGATGGCTAAGGGATGAATTAAGGGCAGCACTGATTGGTTATTTCAGTTAATACAGTAAAAAGAATTAAGTTATTAACTTCTTCAGTGATTAGAATTAGTTTCTTTTAATTGCAACTTTTCATAAAATTAAAATAACCCTTTGCATAGAAAAAAAATTCTCCAAACCTATACATGCTTGTATCAAGGTCGGGCCACACTGTCCACAAAGTGGAACCGGTTAAATTTGGTTAAAAGTTTGAAGGTTCGTCGAACTGGTTCGAACCAGTGGAACCCAGAAAGTTCAACCTAAAAATCCGGTTCGACAAAAGTTTGTGACACCCCTACTTAGCACCACCACATAAACTGCCTCGGTCAATGGGTCTTTCGTATTGTGGGTGACCACATATGTGCACCTTATGATACTTAAACTTTTTCAAAAGAACTTGCACACATTCACTTGTTCTTCCACAGCATTCGAGAAAGCTGTCTGCACAACAGAGATCTAGATCAGCAAAGAATGATAGATAAATACAAATAACCAGAGCTGAGAAAGTTCACACACTTTAATTTCAGATTGTATATTCTGCAACGAGGGTAGCAAAGTTTACAAACCAGGGATATGCCCAGTTTTTCGTTTCATCAAAAGCAGCCAGCCTGGCTGCTTCTGGAAGACCGAGGTGCCAGGATTGAACACACAGTTCAAACCTGTGCAGAATCATGGCCCCCACATCAGGAAATAAAATTATGAGCTATGAGCTTGAAGAAAGCTCTTCACAAAACGAAGACGATAAGTTAAAGTTGTGTGGCATGAGGTGCTAGCATGTTGGTCAATACCATATTTACTCAAGTGATAGCCGCACTATTTATGAACAAGACCCTTCCGCCTACTTTCCAACAGAACACGTATACAGCCAATCATTGCGTTGCGCATAAATAACATAGCGAATCACCAGATCGAGAACACGATTCTCCATACAAATGCGATTTTCACAGATGGTATCTTTGCACGAAGATGTTATCTCTGTCCTGTAAACAGCTGGAATCATGGTGTCGATCGCGGTGATTGGCAATCTGCGTGCTCCGCGGAAAAGCGGACCCTTAGGTTTTCTCCATAAACAGTGTGGCTATTACTCGAGTAAATACGGTAGCCCCGCTGGCACATTACACGGCCTTCAATTATTTCTGAGAGTCATTGTGCTCTGCTCCTTCCTCATGACGATGCTTGTTGGGGTCATCTGGTTTCATTGCAGGGAAAAGCAGCACCTCCTGTAACACAAACATCACAACATCATTTGCCTACCCCCAGCAACATCAAGCAAAACACTCTGCACAAAGGAAAATTAAAGGTTCGAAAGTGGAAGGAACCGAAAAAGAGACATCATCTCTGTTTTCTCTTTCTTTTCTGACGTTTCCACTTTTGAACTTTTTCACTTCTCTTAGTTCAATCTCAAAGTAATTTATACCGTGATCATGGAATACATAGTCACAAAGAGTCTCAGCGATTAATTTTGAGGTGTGCCAAGAAACAAAAAAAGGGGGGGGGGGGGGTTTGTGTTGAGTTGATTGGGGGTTAAAGGCACATCAGCATCTAAGGCTATAATGTGCCAAGAGTGTGAACTATTGCAGAAGAAGGGTTAAAGGGAAGAAAGAGTTATAGTAACTGGTGACGTGATAAAACTATGAATATGCATGTGTATAAGTGTAAAAGATATGGTCACGAGTTTGGGGTGGAAAATAAAATCACAGTCGGTGTATAAGGCCAATATCAGTGAGAAACTTAAATATGCTATCATGTGAAATGAGTGGTTCATCACCTAGAAGCAGGGCTAGGTGCAGTGGGACATGTTCTTTATATAGTTGCGCGAAGTGTTTGTGACGGTGCACAGCCTCCCACCGAGCCCAACAAGGGGATAGGTAATGTGTCATAACAAGAGTGGCTTGACTGACACAGTTACACTACCAGTGCTGCCTGGAAACAATAAACAAGTGTGGATCTGGGCGAGGGTATCTGTCACCACCCAAGGTTAGCACCTGCAGCGGCGTAGACTTTCCATTTTCCCCAGGAGGAGGGGGGGGGGGTTGCTACGCATTACCTTTTCGCAAGAACTGGAGATTGAAGCTAACGAAAGCACACTGGGATTCCATGTATTTTGTCAATAAAGGCAACGTGGGCGTTATTTTGTTTACATGCCACTACTAGAAGCTCGTTACATGGCATGTAAACAGCGTCTCGGTAAGGATCATGGCCCGGGCCCAAGGGGGGGCTCTGCTCTGCCCCCCCCCCGGATCTCACCAGGGGGGGCACGAGCCCCGATGCCACCCCGAAGTCTACGCCTATGAGCACTTGCCACCGAAGAAGGTGAAATAAGAAGGAAGAGGAGAATAAGAAAGGTAAAGAAAGGAGAGGTCAAGAAAGGCGACTAACTGAATCATTCTGGTCGGGCCAAGCGAGGAAACCCGTCTACGAGAAGCAGGGGTCGAAGTGATGTATTGCCTTGCCTGGGGGGCCCCGAAGGGTCCAAACATACCCCAGGCTCAGCTCCCCAACCACCAGGATGCCCCCTTCCCCGGATACGGATTAAGCCACACACAGCCAGGCGTGGGTGGGCAAATCCACACGGTTCGGGTTTGTAGTGCCGCGACTCGCTAAGAACCTTCTAAAGTAGATGCCCCCTGCGTGTGGGCACGGCAGCCCACGTGGCTGGGGTCCGTGGTGACGCCACTCACCAAGCACCTTACACCTAAGGTGTAAGTGCCCCCTGTGAAGGGGGGGGGGGGGGGGGGGGGTGTTAACAGGAGTTGCCTTAAGTCAAAGAAACTGTAAAGGACCGGCAATAGAGTGGTTTCAGTAGTAAAATCCTCCCAGCCTCCCAATTGGCTCGTTTGGTACAGCTGAAGAGAAGCGTGAACAGGGACAATGACAGCTGCCAAAAATATATGTCCTTGAGCGAAACAATATTTAATCAATGAACATTCCACCCAAGGTCCTTCCAACTGAGCTTCAATTCCGCCTGTTTATTTTCCTGTCTGCTACAACATGTGATGCTTCAAATGAGAGCCTGACATCACCACAATAATGATGTTTAGAGAAATTAGACCAAGCATGCATATTGCCACTAACAGTAAGCTTTTTTCTTTTTCTGCTCCACTCGCCAATATACAGCGAAGTCTTATTTCAGGGACCTCAACTAGAACACTATGTATAATTAACGAGAACCTGTAGAAGAATGACTCGCCTTGATGTTGTTGGAGTCGGTGAGGAACATGACCAGGCGATCGAGGCCCATGCCCCAGCCAGCTGTTGGAGGCAGGCCATACTCCAGAGACGTGCAGAATGTCTCGTCCACCAACTGAGCTTCATCATCACCAGCCGCTTTGTCCTGAAAGACCATTGTCCTCTCATGTTCAAAATACATCACACCTTTTACCAAACAGTTAGATCTTCCTTGTAGCTTCTCCCATCTTCTCGAATTCACCTGTTTACACAAAAGTCCCCTCATACAGAGAGGCTCCTCACATTTTCTAACTTTAATATCAGAGACAGCAAACAGGTGCAATTAGAAGCCTGAAGTCCCCTTCATAGGGCATGTTTTGTATCCGTTTACCACACACAACTAGTTTCCAACACCTAATAACTTTTTTGGGCCCCAAATCAAGAATCAGTATCATGTTTCAGCCGACAGGATAGGCAAAATCTCGACTCAACATCTCACAAATAAAGAGCGTAAATTTCCTCTAGAAAAGAGCACTTCCGGACATCCTCCGAGACGAAGAGAACCGAAAGACTGACCTTGGCCTGCTGCTCAAAGCGCTGCCTCTGCACCAGGGGGTCGTTCAGTTCCGTGTATGCATTGACCACCTCCTTGCGGGCAATGAAGAGCTCAAAGCGCTCCGTGAGGCCCTTAACGGACCGGTGCCACTTGGACAGCGGGCTCATCACTTCCGGGTGGTCGCACAGGAACGTCGGGTTCACAAACTGCTCCTCCAGGAAATGGCCCACCAGCTTGTCCAGTAGCCGGGCTGGCGTGCGCGGCGGGGTACACTCCACCTGGTGCTTCACGCAAAGTTCCGACAGGAGGGACGTAGACTCTGCACAGCAGAAACACAAAAGAAATGTTACAGTTCCCAAGAAAAAAGACATCGGGGAAAAATTGGCAACCTAGTGCACACGACATAGAGAGAACAAAAATAGAGTATCACATAAATAAGGTTCAAAGATTTTAAAGTTTTTTTTTTTTTTTTTTTTTTTTTCTTGTAAAAATTGAGTGTTTGTTTTTTTGTTTGTTTTTTTTTTGGGGGGGGGTTTAAGTTTTCTCTTATAGATTCAATGTTTTTTGTGTAAATTGGTTAAGTCATAACCAATTTACACAAAAAAACACCGAATCTGTAGGAAAAAAATTAAACCCCGAAAAAAAATACCCCCTATTTCGAGAAAAACAATAAACTCCGAAAACGCAGAACCTATACACATAAGCAACTTTTTTCTTAACGATTTTGAAACAATTTAAAATTCTGACCAGAAATGTGGGTAAGTTATGAAGTATATATATATAGAGTGATCCCAAGAATCCCTTCACATCTGCATGTATGCTTGCTACCATTACGTGGCTGCAGTCAACAGTTGAACCCACCATAGTGATTCGTGCGACATGCCGCTGACCAAAGGTTTCGTAGACAGTCTTCTCGTCAGATGCCCTCCGACCCATTTGAAACCCCACAACATAATTCCCAACGATCTAAAAAAATTCTCTTGCACATTATCTGCTGCTTATAAAACCTGAATCCCTCCATACTCCAATGTGTGCAAGCATTACGCCGAAGACAAGAAACTGTTTATAGAATACAAAAGGCACAGACGACTATCGTGCTGTCCGCATGCCTCACCTGGAGAGCTCAGGTTTTCCGGCGAAGGCAGCGGGGTCCCCAGGGCCTTCTCGAGGTCGGGAAGCATCCGCACCCGCCGGAACGGAGGAGTGAAGTCGATCTCGACAGCCTCACCGTCAGGGCCGTCCGGATGGTAGGTCACCTTGTACGATCCTGTCAGGGACTTCACCATTCCTGACGAGAGACCGAGCCAAACCAGAAGTAAATGCAGAAAATGCCATAGAAAATACAAGAACCTGTCGCGGTCAGCAATCTCAAGACCCACCGGAAAGCATGACCTCGGTCATGTCCATCAAGTCGTTGTAGTCGGCGTAGGCCATGTAGAACTCGCAGGTGGTGAACTCAGGATTGTGCGTCAGGTCAATGCCCTCGTTGCGGAACTGGCGTCCAATCTCGTAGACCCGATCCATGCCACCGACCACCAGCATCTGTTGCCAGGCGACCAAGAACTGCTCCTCAAGCTTCGCTCTTAAGTTTCACCCCTTTTCCAAATTACTTAAAGGCAACTCCACTCAATCCCAAGAATTTCGGGGTAATGGGTGATTCCACATTGTCTTCATTTGTTTTCCAAAAATTTAAATATTTCCCGTGTCATCTTCCTTTGACGGAATCGCAAACCGAACCCGAAACTTTGGCTGCAGCGCGTCCTTTGTATCTCAGCTGACTCTGCATCCAACACCACTACGGCCTGAGCACATCATTTATAAATGCAGTCAAAGTTTGTAATCAAAATATTATCTAGAGTGAGAAGGGGGGGGGGGGGGGGGGGTTGTTACGTCAGAATTCACTATATTAACCTCTGGTGCAGGCACGTAGCCAGGATTTTGTTTCGGGGGGGGGGGGGGGGGGGGGGGGGCCTATGACAAAATGCTGTATAAGGGGGAGGGGGGACAGGATGTCCCAGCAAAATGGAAGATTTTGCTGGGACATCCCCCCCCCCCCCCCTGACTACGTGCCTGCTCTAGTGTACTCCTGGTGCAGCATGTTCCTATATGCTGCAACCAGTGCACAGGCGCACGCATGTCCCGTGAACTGTTAATCATGCCGCTAGAACATCTGTGAGCTTTGCCCAGAAAGGTAAAAACAACCCGAAATAGAAATGCCTCCGACAAAGTTAACTGTGCCACATATCACAGGCCAAATTTAGCAGATTTCGTTGACTCGGTACATCCCAAAATTTGTTGGCCATTTTAATAAACACTTGGAGTGAATTTCTGTAATATTTAACTTCTGAACTTCCTAAAAGATACTAAAGACAACTCCATCAGTCTCTCTATAACAAAATTCAAGCAGAGTTTCCCATTCAGAAGCCTCTAAGAACATTGAGGAGGTGCACGAAAACCTTCTTTTGAGAACAAGTCTCTTTTCAAATTCAAGATGCGTCCACTCAGAAAGAAATGTGAAATGCTCAAGAAAAGGGGATCCTGGCAACACATAAGGCAAGCACCACTGTTGGCACTGACAGCATCTTCCATCCCGCATCAAGAACTCAGAAGAGCAGACAGAGAAGAGTGGCACGACTGGGCATGAAAACAGTGAAACACATAATGTGCCTTCCAAACAAACGTGAGCGAGCGAGGTAAGAAAGACAGGCAATTAAAGGTCAACATCACAGTCGACATGCACCGGAACACTGTGAAACTTTTGAGATGGCATCAGCACTTTCATGTCTGGAAAATATGTGATAGTTTCAATCTCAGGTCACAACCACGATGCCTTTAGACTGTGGCAGGATTGCAACATGGACCAGTAGACAAGAACATTTGAAAGCAAGCGAAAGAATGTGGCCCAACCTTCAGGTAGAGCTCAGGTGCAACCCGCATGTAAAGGTCCATGTCCAACTCGTTATGGTGCGTGATGAACGGCTTCGCAGTGGCGCCACCAGGAATCATGTTCATCATGGGAGTCTCCACCTGTCACCAGATGCAACAAAATGACACGAGACATTTCCAGTAACTCCACTCACACACCAAGGAACTATTCCTTCTTTACAACAGTGCATGCTAGATATAGGCACCAACACAAAATCGGCTATCTCACGCTCTACTCATACGGATTCCTGTTAAGAAGGGACATATACCGTACCAAAATTTCAAAAATTTTTTGGAAAATTTTAATTTTAAGGTTTTCGGATTTATAGTCTAATTATACACCCTTACACTAAATTTAATAACCATGTGCCAAATAGCTAAATTGATATAAAATATTTTCAACACATTGTGAGGCAGTAACAAAGTAAAGGAGTTCAATGTTTGAGTGCATTTTTCTCAGTTCAACTTTTTGCTGCAAATTTCATACGAAAGAATCTTTTGTTCGAAGGTAAAAGTATTCCGATACTACAATCAACATGTTTCTGAACTGAAATTTACTGGGGAATTGGGCTATCTACTTTAATTTGTTTTAAGTTGAAGTCCTCATTGAGAAAAAATATGTTTTCAAAAATTGACATGGGACACATATGCATCTAATATTTCGAGGTAATAACTTTTCCTGAATATTTTCATTTGAGTTATAAAAACTAGATAGCCCGAAGTCCCCACATCCCCCACTTTATATTCAAGCAGTCAAAATGATGCTTAATAGCTTCATTTGCATATCCTAGATTTAACGAAGAGTGACACATCTTCTCATGCAGGTATGTAAAGTTGTCCTAGAAAGCTGAAAGTTTGCACAGTACACCTACATTAAATCTCTCCTGCAAATTTCATTCCGAACACTTGAGTAGTTCTGAAGTTGATCCACTAGCCAGTGTCCCCCCTTAAACAAACATTTCATTACCTACCGCAAAATACCGCACAAGCAGCCACTTCGTTCAAGTGCCCACTATTAACATTTCCCAAACTTAGGAATTCTGCAAATTATATGTTAATGCCCGATTTGACTGGACAAGTGTATGTCTAGATTGATCCAGTTTTCAGCGAAAGTGGGGTGGGCACCCCCCGGTATTTTATGGTAGCTTGGGCCCCAGATAAGAATCTGTCCAGTACACTATGTACCTAGTAGTTTTGATCCTAGTAGCCTACCAGATGCAACAGAGAACTTGCTACAAACAATGCAATCACTTGTGCGTGTTAACCATTGTGCTCTGAATGTTATCACCTGCCATCGAGCAATGCTGCCACGCATGAAATGGGCTTTTCAGAAAAGAGCAACTCACCTCAAGGAACCCCATGGAGTCGAAGAACTTGCGGACATAGTTTACCACCTTGGAGCGCATAATGAATTTCTGTCGAACGTTCTCGTTCATGATCAAGTCCAGGTAGCGCTGCCTGAACCGAGTTTCCTGTAAGGGCCATGGCAAATATAAGTCATCACAGAAGTCACAACTTTGGAATAATGCGGACAGTAGAGGTTAGCAGAAATGGACTGATGGTTGAACAGCAAGTAGCACATCCTACCTTGTCCTTGAGACCAAAGTGAAGGTGTGGAAGCATGTGAAGACAAGGGGCCAGCAAAACCATTTCCACTGGGACAATGCTCAGCTCTCCCTTTTTCGTCTTGCCTTGAAAAAGAAAGAATAAAAAAAATATGGTAGATTAAGTGGAGGAAGTAGCAAAACCAACCCCTGCCAGAAATTGCCTTTTGTCCTTCAAAACAAATGTCCACTTTCTCCAGCTTGCATCCCACCGCTTGAGAATACTCTATGATTTCACCTGGTTGTCCAATGCAGCCAAGGATGTCTCCTCTTCTCAGTTTGGCATTCATCTTCACAAACGCTTCCTCCGAGCTATAATACCTGTACAGAAACAAAAGCAGAAATATTTATTTCCTTTGGTCACCACCGAGGACCATTCGACTGACGCCATAGAAAACCTGCCGAAAAAAAGTTGCAAGGCACCTCTTCTGTTCAGGATCCCACACCGAGTCAAGTCAAGTCGGCTAACCCGAACAACCTTGGCAGCGACAAAATGGTCAATTGCACAAACAACTGCCTCGAGCGAATGACTCTTAGGGTCTAATCGTCGGAAGTCACCAAACAAGATTCAGATGGATGGAAAGGAACTCACGAGGCGTTGGCCATGACCTGGATCTTGGTTCCTTCGCCGCGAAGGTCGTAAAAGATGAGCTTGGTCCCAGATTCACGCTTGGCGTGAACTCTTCCAGACACGGACAGCCGGACGTCTGTCAACACCTGGCCTGCCTCGAGCCCCTCGTAGAGTTTCACAAACTCGGTCAGAGACGTCGACACATGGAACTTGTGAGGGTACGGGTGATCCCCGGCCTCCTTGAGCTGGGCCACAGCCGCTGATCGCAGCCGAAAGAACTCCTGGAGCATGTGAAAAAAATGGCAACCTTCAAGTAGGGCGGGATATTTTGGGTTCGAATCCGGCTCCACACCATCAATGTGAAGCCGAGGGTAGCCCTTGGGATTCGAATTGAACCTGGTATTGTTCCGAATTCGAGAAATGGACGAGAAGCTAAAGACTGTTTTGGCGAGCTATCTTAAATCTTGAATACTGCATGCAATTTATTTTTTGTGGTTGCTCAATTTCTGCAAATTCCACAAATGAAAACAAAGATTTATATTTAAAAAAAATTACTGTGTACCTATACTCCGCGACAACTTTTCTTGGCAATGCAGTGGAAGGTACAGGCCCGCGTCCCCTCTCCCATTTTGAGTGTACGCAGGCTCTCCTCCTCTCCCCGGAAATGGGGGAGGAGGAGAGCCTGCATACACTCAAAATGGGAGAGGGGACGCGGGATGTACCTTTCACTGCATTGCCAAGAAAAGTTGTCGCGGAGTATAGTAAATAACCCTTATTGGGGTGAAAGAGGCACATGCTTCAGAATGAAGGCAAATCGCAACTGAAGTCGAACATAATTTATGTGACTAGCCACGAGTCTTTTTCGAGCCGCCTGATAAAGTTGTCTGGAGCTGAAATACCAATATACGTAAAAAATTGTCACAAAAAAAAAAAAAATAATAAATAAATAAATAAATAAATAAATAAATATATATATATATATATATATATATATATATATACATATAATTTGTAATGCCACCAGGCTTTAAGAGTATGAAAAAAGATAATCACCTGCTGCGTGCATCTGCAAAAGCTAAATATGGAGCCTGTTAACACCGCAGCTAGAGCTAGTTGGTTTTCCATGTTTTAGTACTTCACAGCGCATTTAGGTCTGCACTGCCGGGATTGCAGGTGTGCGGCACAACTACATAGTTGCACTGTGCTAGACCGAAGCAACAACCAGCTAGTAAGGGATAATAATTATAAAAAATAATTGAAGCGAAGCGTACTGCTAAGCTTGACGATGGATGCCCGTGAGCAGCAAATCTCTCACCTTATCTGCAAAGGAATTGGCTTACCTTACCTTAAGACGATAATCGCAAACTATTTTATGAAATCGTTCTAATAGGCGGAAAGGAAAAAAAATGACACAACAATTTCCAGATTTTGTTTTAACAATAAGAAAACCAAGACAAAATACAAAGAGTTGTGAGTTCAGTGCTGTGTGTATGTTTTTGTGTCTGTAATTGAGTGAGTGCCAGCTTTTGTGAGACGTTTATGCGCAGTGAAGTACTAAATATGAAGCCAAAACAATTTCTGAAAGTGAACTCGGCATATGTCAGTAGAACTTTACCTAAGGACACAGGCCAAAAGATGGCATCCACTATTCATGGTGATGCAATGCCATACAAACATTACATCAACCAAAGTTAGAAAAAAAAAAAAAGGAACACTTTAGAGTGAGATTTAGCCAATTGGCAGGTCCGGAGTTCTGGCTGAGGCGGTTGGAAACATCCAAGATGGTTAATAAAGAAGCCTACAAAAAAAACGCACATTGGGATCCATGGTTTCTTCATCCTGGGCTGCAGCTGACTCGGGCTTTGGCCCTCCGGCAGATGCCTTCTCAGACTCTTGCTCCCTCTTCAGTTTCTCCTTCTCTGCTTTTTCTTTGGCCTTCTGCTCTGCCTTCTGCCTCCGCTTGAGTTCGCTGCAATCGAATTAAGCACACACAAGGTGTACAAATGACCAAACTCATCAAATACTTCAAGCTCCGTATGCAAGAAACAATCCGGTATTAAGGCTATACTCTATAGCAAGGATGCCATCACCTTAGAAAGCACCATTTCATCTATAAATCTTTTAGAGCACACGAGCTATTTTATGAATGATAGAAACCAAAGACTAAGAAAAAAATAAGTAAAAAGCCGACAACATAGAGCTGTGAACATGTGAGCACGGCAGCTCGAGGGTAAAGCAGCACCAGTGACATCACTCAAACAATGGGTCATTTGCTTCAGGCTCAGGCATAATGTATATTTTTAGGTGCGTGCCTAAAAAGGTACATGTTCAGTCTCATCTGCATTTCACTCAACCCTATCTGAAATATCCGGACACAAACAAAAACGAAAACGGCCCATTAACAGTGCTCACTCCACTCTGCCGTTCTTTGTTTTCCAACCCTACTCAGTAGGCATAAGCATTGCTGACTAAGAAGGATGTTACCATTCACTAAAATGTCGCATAAGGTAATTCAATAGTTCCCAAAGATGCACACTACCTTCAGAAAGTGTACCAAGAGACCCTTAAGCACAACAAACTTTACAACTTTAACAAACAAAAAATTATCTCCTCGCAAAGTGCCTAAACACATTCAATGCTGAAACCATAACTGTCACGACTCGCACTTGATACTGCACGGATGTCTAATTGGAATGGTGTCACTACTACATCTAAGAAAACTCTGCACCAAATGTTGACTTCAACTGAAAGCAATGCAACTAGGTTACGAGTTGTGCCTCAGAGATCCCTCAAGGAAGGGACAACACAGAATTCAAGTACTGGACTTTGCGTCCCAGAGGCTATAATGGAACATCAAAGCCACAGGGAGCTAAAACAAACCAAAAACTGCTCCTTCTCTACAGAAGATTATAATTGTGAAAACTGTGCCACATAGTTTAACTCCTTGTTGTGGGAGATTAGTGTACAGTAAAGAAGCAAGACAGTAGTATCATGCGTGAGCTTTAATTATTCCAATTACATTTCTACAATAAGAAATTTTGATTTACTATGTTTCTGATGGATGCAACGCAGCTAACATGCTCTGTTGTTGGATCCCTATTGTTTTGTGAAAACACATTTCGTAGACAACTTTTCATGGACTTGCATTTCATGAATACGCTATGTTTCATGGAAGCTTGTTTCGTGGACACATGTGTCAGAGTGCTGCAAAGTTTCGTCAACATTTTTTTTTTTTTTTTTTTACTAAGTTGCTAAAGGTTATTTTGTGATTTAATGAGGCATGTTTACCCGTTTACCCAAGCCTAGAGGCCCACCTCCTCTCTCCCACTGTAAACCAGGCGAGACGCAAAATGTTTGTTGCAAAAACAGCAGGGTTGTGTTCGACAAAACGTCGCAAGGTCTGTCAATGAAACAACACGGAAAGTTTTCCAATGAAACAAACTGCCGATGAAACATTGCATGTTAACGAAATGATCTGTCGATAAACCATTGTTCGATGAACTGAATGCCAGTTTGTTGTCATTTTGGCATGGTCCTCGTGACATTGGACTTCTCCGGATAAGTGGGTAATAGGTAAAAAGATGTTGACCAATCACCAACCTCGAAGCCCGAGATGCCAGTCCCACAGTACAAACGCGACTTGAGATAGCCGACGGACAGACACTCGTCTGCCATGGGAGCAGACGGCTGTACCGTAGCAGGCGCTGGCACACTGGTCTCAAGGACATCACCTGGGCCGTGCCAGACCATTGTCTGAATTTTTGCATCATGATTTCTCGAGGTACTAGTTTCTAGTCTGTGTAATTTTTGTTGTTCACAAAGACAAGAGTAGGAGCAGTTTTCGCAATTTTTCAGCAAGGTCTTTGCTAGAAACGAAGTCATTCCGAAGTTTTTGTACGCCGTCATATCATGAACTGCGTGACTGCGGAACACTACCAGAAAGTTGCCCAATCGTATTACCTCGCTGCTTTGCATTATAGAAAAGGGGCGATACCGAACTCGCGCAATTCTTTCAGATGTTGCGCGAGAATATGCGCAGCAGTCTCCCCACAGCGTTGAATCGTCGTTGTAACGAGACATTCTAGCAGACGAACACCAACGCGGAAACGCTGTTCTGGAGAGAAAGGTTAAACTAGCAACAACAAAAGAATGACGGTGTATTTTCGTTTTTCTTGCGCTGTACGAGGACGCCGACACCACCTAGGACACGTAGTTATAAAAAGTGCAGATGATGGCAAAACACGTGGATACGCGATCGGCCATTTATGGTCCTTCCGATCGTGCCAACAATAACCCCATCCTTCTGCTGCCATGTACTAACGATCAAATAATAACATTTGCGCACTTCCTTTGTTGATTTAGTACAAATAAACGTGCTTACTTCTTGCTTAGCGGTGTGCCGGCATCAGCCATTTTTGGTGTTTGAACTTTGAACGCGTGTGCGTGTGTCAGAGGCGAGCGCCTATCCAGAGATCTGCCCGTGCCTAGATCTGGGGACAACGCCAGCGTAGGGAAAACCGCTCGTAGGGAATCCGTTCGGGTGGTGGTGATGATGATGATAGCGTCACGTATGACTCGCACACTGGTGGTATTGCCTGGCCTCGCTGTTTTCAACGGTTCTCAGTTTGAACCGTTTGAACTTCGGATGTGGTTGCTCCGTTGCTTTTGTGAATGCTAGCGGCATAACGCCGACCCAGATAAGTACAAGTGCATGATTTGTGACAGGTGCTTCAAGAAAATCTACAACTTAAAGAGGCACCTAAAGGAGGTTGACGGCATTGACGGGACGCTGACACGATCTGGATCACACTGTCCGCTGCCGCCTTGCATGCGATCTGTGTCCAACGGCTTTTGCGTTCCATTGGGGACTTGCTGCGCCACTTTGAAGCGAAACACGGGTTCGTCGCGAGGCGTGAGGAGTTAAAGTTCAATTTGTTGAAAGGTAAGTGCACTCGCTTACTTTTGTACAAAAGAAAAATCGATCACAATGTCTACCACTGTTACAAAACACGGTGTGGGCCTATAGCAGAAAAGATATAATTCAAGCTCTTGTTTAAAGACTAAAAAATCTGAAAAGAGACGACAATTCATTACCACAAATTTGCATCCGCACCAATGGTGACTATTGCGATTGCACAGAGGGATAAAATACACTCGTTCCTCTATTAGCATGAGCTGGCACATGAAATCCCAGCATATGTTGTCGTATAGGAAATTAATCAAAAGTATTGTTGGGCTAGTTTGATCATCTCGAAAACATTGCAAAATAAGAGGATAAGAACAGAAACGCAACGAGCGTTACCATCTAGTATCGACTGACTGTTAAATGCGTGTTTAGAGAAGTACGAGAAGAAAGTCGGTCTGTTAATTTTCTTTCTTTCCTTTTTTTTCTTCTAGGGGGTTCGTTCATCTTTCTGGAGCATCAAAATGCTACATTGCCTTTCTTTGAATCTCAAAATGTTGCACTCTTTTCGATAGTAGCACTTGTCCTGTCCCTCTCTCGTATTTTGTGCAAATTGTTTTCGAGATGCCTGAAACTTGCTGTGCGGTACGAGTTTATTCTTTCGTTCCCTTCTGAAAAGTGCTTTCAAAGTGGTAGTTTGTGACGTCGTATACAGAGCTCTTTTGTTCTGCAGGTGCACGGTCCTCAAAAAGCTTGCACACCACCTGCACTAATCAAAGCTATGCACGCTCAGCGTGCTCCCGGAGAGGTGGCAATCAGTTCATTGCATGACATTTCAGCGACACACAATGTTTCATCGACAGCTCAGATTAGCTTTTTTTCTGTAATAAGCTGCACGAGACTGTCGCCGCGACAGTCTCGTGCAGTGTCGGTAAGGTGGGTTAACATTTTTGTAATGAGCCGCTGCGAAGCGGCGTGAACGCAGGCAGGCAGGTGGGTTAATGCATACCCCAGTGATACACGCAAGATGAAATGTCCCTACAGCGTGCAATTCGCATAATAAGTATCAATGAAACGATTGTGTCTACGAAACGCGTGTCCATGAAAAGTTGTCCACGAAACATACTTTTACGAAGCGAGTTTCAATGAAATGAAAGGGACCCCTTATGGAGTGGCATGCGCTGTGCAGAGCCGTATATTGAGAGAGTTTGGCCAGTGGGTGTGGCAACGAAGGCGCCGAAAAGGAGAAAATTAAATGAAAGGAAGAGAGCGCCGAAGGAGCGAGAGAGAAAGAAGGGAGCAGAGAGGAGACCGCCATTTTTTCGCTACGCTGTCGGAGACTGCTCAGAGAAGAGCACTGCTGAGGCTATGCGTCGTCTGCTACGGGCCAACTTCTTCGCCTGAATAAATGTTTGTGGCCTTACGGTGAGAAAACTTCATTTATTAGCTTTTTAACCCACTGAGGAATAACAGTATATCATTTTCTTGCCAGAGCCAGCGATATAAAAGGAAATAATCGTGATATAGATGCCGATCCCATGCATTCCGCTGGGAGAATGAACGAAAATGGCGGCCCTCCCCACTCAGCTGGGAGCAGCCGGGAGCTCACATGCATGCGCTCATGCCTCTCGCTCTGCGCCGTGTGCTGATTGGCTCACTTGGGAGGAGGGCGTTACGGCGGCGAGATCATAGACTGACCAAACTCTCCCCATATACGGCTCTGACGTAGTGTAGCCGAAAACCTATATTTGACGTCGTAATTGGTGAATGGGAAACATGGATATCTTGCATTTGCCAATAATTTTTCACCAAATAATTGTCATATTTGAATTCATGGGGTAAAACCAGGCAAGAATTCACCTCCAACTATATTTTTAGGAACCACTTCAGCTTTCTTTAAGCCATGTTACTTTACAAACACGACTTTCACATCAGGACATCAACAGGATCGCCTCCTAAAGCACACCTGTGTATGGGAATAGCCATACTTCCAGCATATATACCTACCTTATAACGTCCTGGAGGAGGATTTTACCACATGCAATTGATTTAGCACTGAATTGTTTGTGCGGTAACATACTTCCTCGTTACGTTACGGTATGGTAGGTCAAGAAAGAGTTGAGCCCTTTCTAATACAAAATCTAATGTAAATTTTTATTCCTTCAGCTAGTGCATGTTCTCGTGCACCGACGCTAAAGCTTGTGGATAGGACATAAGCTTCAGCACAAACCTGGCACACCTGATTGTAGCAGCTTTGGCTGTTGCCACAGATATGTATGATGGGAGTATGGCTACCTGGGGAGTGGAGCAGAGGGGTCATAGTGTTACCCTAATATCCCGAGAGATAGCCCACCTAAAATCAATAAAAAATTGGCTCAAAATAAGGAGTGTGCTCACTTGCAGTGTGAAGCAATAATGGCTCTATTTGCCAGTCGGTAACGGTTCATTATGTCCCGCCATAGCTAACTCGACACTATAACTAGACACATTATATCCCGCCATAGCTAACTAAAAGAAAAAAAAGCAAATGAAGCCAAAAACTGGGGTGGCTTACCTTTCGGGGCCGGGGCATCTCAGAATTTTATGGTAAGCATATATCTCGCGTCTACAGTTTACATGGTACCAACACACTGGGGTTTTTCAGCTGCTCTTGTGACCGCCACTATGATGGGACTTGACTCTTTTCTAGGGGTGTATGAATACTTTAATATTTGAATACAAATTGAATAGTAAGCTCTAGGATAATTCGATTCGCGAATAAAATTCGTAGTGTTTGGTTAACCGAAGATTTAATATGTTCTGTGAAAGATGCGCGGTCGACATAGAGCCAATGAAACTTGTGCTCCCTCTCCGTTGTAGTGCGCACTTGCATTGAACTTATGAATGTGCAAAACATTTTTTGTTTTGTTTTCCCGTCACTTGCATAGCAGGTGCACTTGCAAACACCACACATGTGGAGTGCAGTGAACCTGTTCTTGCAGACCGTAGTGTTTGGGAGTGCACCTACTATGTGGGCATTAAGAGCACGAAAAAACCATGGACCGCATGCTACAGCTAAAAGTCTGATCGGGATGTACATTTAGTGAAACAAACATGAAGATGTTTTAAAGCAGGGGAATATATGATGTGACTGACATACCACTCTTAATTCAGGCCATTTCATTTTAAGCTTTCTTTCTTCTCTGCCTGCCAGAATTCAGTGACTGGAGGGAGGCTGAGGAAGGCAGAGAGCACGTTCACTTCGTTCTTCACGACGGGCCCAAGGGACGAGATGAGGGTGTCCTGAAAATGTATTGCTACTGCCACCGCTCTGGATCATTTCAGAGCAAGAGGTAAACGACAACTGAGAGCCCAGGGCACTTGTAAGACTAATGTGCAATGCTTAGCCACAATTCAAGCAACAGAGAAAGATGGCAAGGTGACAGTAGAGTACCAGGCAGAACACTACGGCCACCTGAAGGAACTGAAGCACCAGCGCCTCTTTACGACTGAGAAGGAGGCTTTAGCTGATAAACTAAAGCAAGGCATCCCCGCCCGTAAAGTTCTGGTAGACGCACATTCTTCCGCTGGCAGTGAGGTGGGCAGGCTACATTTGTTCTCAATGAAAGGCATTGGCAACATCTCCGTCGAGCATGAAATTCTGACGAAAGAGCTACGGCACAAGAATCACAGGAGGAACTGAACAAAGTCAGATTCCCCAGTCTGTACTGACATGGAAGAAGGAAAACAAAGAGAGCTTTGTGCTTGCCCTGATGACTGTCCCTCAGAAAGAACTCGTCACAAAGCTTGGCTTGGCCCCAAGTTCCTGTGCATTGACTCTACTCATAATACAAATGGCCACAATCTGCAAATGAAGACTCATGACAGTTGCAGAAGATCAGTCAGGCATGCCATGCACATATTTGATCTCAATGTAACTAGGCACTAAGACTATGAAACGCACCTTAAGGCCATAAAGGTAATGCATGGGAGGAAGTGATGGGCTGTCCCCAACATTGGATGCTCTACTCCTGGCATGTAAGCCACAACTGGGCTCTGAAGTTGCAGTCGGTCCAAGATATAAGCAAACCCGTGACCGTCTTTGCGACGAGTTGTGGGCGCTGAGAAATTGCAAAGATGAGGGTCAATTCCAACGAGCTTTGACGGGCTTCCTCTGTCAGAAACTACTGTAAGTGGAGAGGCTGACCCAAAACTAATTCAACAAGTACAGGAGTTTGTTCAGTACTTTGGGCACTACCATGGTGGCAGAGCAGAACAGTGGGCGCTCTGCTTCAGAAAGGGCATTCCTTTCAATACTACCAACCACTTGGAGGCAACGTACAAGGAGCTGAAGTCACACTACCTGCATGGAACTCACAATCAGAGGCTCGACAAGCTGTTGATGACCCTCTTCGAACTGACCCAGTACCGCCTCTATAAGCGTCTCGAGTCGCTCGTAAAAGGAAAAACTGATTGGCATGATGCAGCCCTTTTTCGGAGGCACCAGGAGAGGATGAAAATTCCAGCATCAGATATAGAGCAGCTGCAAAATGGCAATGGCTGGCTTGTAAA